AAGTTAGCTAAGATCTGTAGCCCACCAGAATAAATTTGTTATTATTAAATAATGCTGTAAGGTAAAATTTTAAAAGTATATGCACTAAAATGACTTTCCAAAAAATATTAAACGAATAACGATTTAAAGCACGTGACGAAAATTTTTTAGAAAGACCAAAAAATTGGCCGATATTGTAAAACATTAACGCCTCTGCCTCCAACCGTCCACAATATTTCTGCTGAGATCACTACTAAAAATCATGACAATTCTATGTGGAAAATATATCAAATAATTTGGTTCAAAGTATACATAGATCCACACAAACTATTTCAATATTTTAAACTGATATTTAACTTTACGATCGAGTTGATATTTGTGTTATTTTTAACATCTAGCCATTGTAGCAAATAAAATTACGATGCCAGCAAAGAAGCATGTATCAACCAATGAAAATAAGGCTGACTTTTTTATTGATGTACTTGAAATCTCCGTCCAGACAATTAGTCAGATTTCTGAAATTTTCCTCGTGTTTCACGTTCGTTACGTTATTGTTTAGACTGCAGCAAGATATCGGAAATCTGACGGCCCTAAAATCAGCGTTGAATAAAATTTTTTGTGATCTTTTTGATAGTTTTATGTCTTGGTAACTTGATGGCCCATGTGTTCCACAGCATTTATCCTGCCAATTGGTGAACATTTCAGAATAAGTTCTCCACTAAACTTGCGCCTCTACTTAATAAAAATAAAATGAGATAAACTTTCAAAGTACTCCTTTATAAAATTTTGAGAACTGCATTGCATTTTGAGAGCTGGTTGATGAAATTCAATTTAATATATAAGTACGTGCATGCTATTTTAATGGAAGTTATAATTAGAATTTGTAAAAGGCTAAAATGGTAATTGTTAATTCATTTTTGTTTTTTCTAATATGAACCGTATTAAATAGATTAAATTTTTAAAAATCGAAGTAGTTAAAAATTGATAGTTTTATGGCGTTAACTTGTTGTGCAAAAACTATAAAACTGCTTTCAAACTGCCTTCTTTTAATTTAAAACCTTTCAATCTTCTCAAAATATTATTGAAATCCCAACTTGACACAATTTGTAAACTCTTTTTAGCCTTGGTGCAATGATCATAATTAGTAAACGAGTTAAATAATTATATGAACGGTGCATGGAGCATACTTATTAACTAATTAGCCAATTATTTAACCGTAAACTAAATTTGGATTTGCACTTACCGACTTATGCGAAAAGCTAGGTATATCTAACGATTTGATTTTTAATTTTGTCGTTTTAGTCAGATGCGTAACGACGATATGAAGTTCTCCATTGCACGTCTTCCGCACGTCACACTCAGATTGTGTAAGATCACATGACACCAAAGATGTATCACATTGCTTGAAACCATAGATATATTAGATCAGTTGCAGAACCATGACAACAGTTGTATAATTTCTTTTTAAAAATTTCTTATAACATTTAAAAACAGTTGGATAAATCATAAATGACCTACTGATCTAGAAGCGTGAACTTTCAAAAGCCAATCAACATTTAATTTTTGTATGTTCTCTAAAACCTTGGCGCTGTTAGTTTCTACCACATAAATTATTTTTTAATTATATTATTTTATTTCTTTTGTTGATTTATTATCAAATCGATCATGCAAGACAAAACCACAAGCTTAACTGTTACATATTCACTGAAGGTGGTCATTCAGACATGTTCCCGGTAATTTCAGTTAATTTTATCAGCTGCACAGAAACCTTGATGTAAATTGTTATGGTACCAAACAGTGACCACAAAAAGGTCAAAAATAACTTCGTTGTACACACAGTGACGTAGAATAGAGTTTATAAAAAATTTTATTGACATTTTTTATTAGTTGCTTCAAAAAAAATTCAAATCCAAATTATGTTTTCAAATGTTAATATAAAATAAACTTCTTAAATATATTTTGAAAAAAAAATTTTAATCGAGTAACCTTAAATTGTATGTAAGCCCAAGCTTTGTGACGTAAGTTGGTGGGAAATATGACACTTGAATTAACAATTTGGACATCTGCATTAAGTAACAACAAAAAATTTGTTTTGACTTTGAATGATGATTTTATTGTGAATTTTCAAGCACCTTGGTTAACGAAATCAGTGATTTGATTGCTGTTCAATAAAACAGAGAGTCGTTCCTTAATGTAAAATTGTTGTCGTAGTTTTAATTGAACAATTAAAATTTCAGTTTATTGTTACATGTTTGCATGAAACATTGCTTATAAACGTTTTATAACAATAAAGTAACAGATATGTGGTTTTCAATTTAATGAAAAAGCTATAAAAAAATGCAAAACGAACATTAACATCTTATGAAAATTGTAAATGCATGGCTAACATTTCTGAGAAGTGTCGGCAATGCAATCAGAGAGGCTATCAATAGAACGGTTAACATTAACATAGTTACAAATAACTGAAATAAATATTTTGATGATTTTTTTTACTAAAATAAACAAATTGAATGTAACATAATGAGCTAATTTGAGAGCAAAAGTTGAGAGCAAAGATTTCTCATCTTATTGAAACGAACCGGACGGGCGGACATCGACAACCGTCTACACGCAACAATAAATGCTGCCCATATGATGTTTAAAAGTAAGTACAACCCTAAAATGATGCAGGCAGTTCCAAAAGTTCCTGGCAGCCAATATATAATCTGTAAATATTCCTCTTCCAGGTGGCCCATTATTATGCTCACATTTCGTATTATGCCTGTCATTATCAATCCAACAAATACTTGAACAACTCCTGAAATCTAGAAAAAGTTAAACAGTTACCATCTTAAACTCTTAAACTACACCTTCAATAAAACTTCAAGTTTTATTTATTTAAAATAGTTTATCTAAATAAGCTCAAGTCATATATACATAACTTGTACTTTTATATATATATATATATATATATATATACTTTAATTATATATTACTTCAAACTTTAAATTGACTAACGCCAACAATTCGGCAGAATTCATACAATACTGTATCAAATATGGTCTCCTTCCAACATATATGTATGTATGTATATATATATATATATATATATTAGGGATGCACCGGGTTTTTCAGGTTTTTCAAATCCGGCCGGGGTCGGACTTGGTCGGATTTGAAATTTAAAAACCGGCCGGGGCCGGAGCCGGGGCCGGAGCCGGGGCCGGATTTTAGTTACCGTTTTACATACGTTAGAAAAAATACTCACATTTACGGTTATCTACATGTTGAACATCAAAAAATAACACCAAGCAAATAGTTATTTAATTCAAATATATGAATAAGTTGTGTGATCAGCTTATAATTTATGCATATTTGCATAACCCATGTTAAAGCACAAAGATAATTGTCCAGCTCACCGCACAATTAGTGATGTTGTAATTATGTGTCATGTATGCCTAACCTTTAACATACCATGTTCTTAAATTATGTGCTTATGTATCTCTCTCTCTCTCTCTCTCTCTCTCTAAATATATATAGATATATAGATATATATATATATATATATATATATATATATATATATTATGTAGCTATATGATCCGTCATGTGCAATTATCAATATATAGTATATACACGTGCACAAGTTCTTTTACACAAAGATCAGCTTATAATTTATGCATAACCCATGTTATAGCATAAAGAAAATTGTCCAGATCACCTCACAATTAGTGATGTTGTTATTATGTGTCATGTATGCCTTCAGCTTAGCCTTAGCCATTAACTTATTGACATAAAATTAATTGAATTCAATAAAATTTTTTTTCTATTTCTAACATTTTTAAAAGTTGATAGACGCTTAAATCCGGCCACCAAATCCGGCCGGGGCCGGATTCGACCGGATTTGAAAAAAAGCCGGATTTTGGCCGGGGCCGGAGCCGGGGCCGAACTTCGGTGCATCCCTAATATATATATATAATAAAAGTATAATAATATATATATATAGTATATATTTCTGACAGTTTTAATCCAATATACATATATATATATTTATTAGATTATGTATATATATATAGGACTAAGATTGTAATATATATTGGATTAAGATTCCTGTTTAATTGTTAGATTTTTCTAACGGTAGATTTTGAATCAATGTTAAGTTTCTTGAGTTCAAAACCCAAATTCGGTCATATTGCACAAAGTTGAAGATCGTAATTTTAATAACTAATTAAATGACCGTTAAGTATTCACATTAAACAAACTAAGAGTTAACATTGTTGAATATATATATATATATATATATATATATATATATATATATATATATACATAACCGAAGATGGTTTAGTAATACCAAAAAAGCTTGTTGGTTCTATCATGTTTAAATGTTCTATCATGCTTATAATAAATAAATTTGCCAAATTCCCTATATAAAGTGCAACAACAAGTACTGGGTTAGAGTTAACAAGTCTCCTGTAACTGCAACAAGTTATTGATGAATCGAAATAGGTCCTAAACACTTGGGAACGAATTGGAAGACTCTATAATACTCTAATTTAATAATATAAAAAATAACGACAATAATTTTATTAAAAATATTAAGAAATGTAATAAAAAACTATCCAATGCCAGAAATTTTGTAGATTCCATAAATTGTTGCATATTTATATTTATATATATCCAGGGTGGATCTAGACAACTTTGGCGGAGTGAAAGGGGCAAAAGGTTAAAAAAGTTAAGTTAAATTTTAGAATTTAACGAGGGGCAAAATTTATACGAGTGAGGCTAAATTTCAGCCGGTGACTTTTTTTGGTTCATTACATCAATTTTTGATTGATTTATGACTAAAAAATAAGTTCTACTTAACTTTAATAAAAAAATTGCACAAAACGGGAGACCATGGCCCTCCTTGGCCGTCTTAGATCCGCTACTGCATGAATCTAGTTAAAAAAAACTACAAACTATAGTGCGTGTTCACTGTTTAGTAATAAACAACGGAAACAATTCGGTCAATTCAAAAAACTATATATCAAAAACGTCAGGATTTCCATTACTATATTATACATGCTTCAGAATCTGAGTACTACAAGAATCTAGTAAAAAAAATATTAGCCATATATATATATATATATATATATATATAATATATATATATATATTATATAGAATATAAAAGAATATATTCTATATATGTGCTACCAGCTTAATTTACTACATCAGCACCACATTTCCAAAAATAAATGAATTCTTAATGATTACTACATTGTGTCTAACTAAAAACTAAAAATGAAAAATGACCCATTCTAAAAACTCTGCCCTATAACACTTGAATAGTTAACAAGTATTTTCTTGTAGCATTAAAAAAAATAATTTTTATTAAGTTTTGTTGATTTAAATTTCTAAGTGAAATTGAAAACAAACGAAAGCCAGTCCCAGGACAACAATGAAGCATCTTCGCAAGAACAAGCTGCTGCTCAGATAAACTATTTTTCTTTCTGAAACATTTATTTATATTTAAAAAATTAGATCTTCATGCAGAGACATCTCATACAAAAATTTTACGGCGAATTAGCTAAGACGGTCGGAGTGACAAGTGACTGGATTCGATTCGAATGCTGCCTTCACGAAACTCCAGGGATTAACACAAAGCCCATGGTGCGATACAAGAAGTTTAGAACGGCGCGCGGCACAAAAAATTTTAATTCGCTGCAACTAATAAAGGAACAATTTAAAAGCGGCTGGTTGATGCACAACAATGCAAAAAAGTTAGCTTATTTTGACAAGTTGCACATCAGCACCATAAAATATACTTATAATTAATTTACAATCATTCAAAATCATTTATTATTTTGACCTGAGTTTGAATATGGCAAAATGCTGGACACGTTTATGTCTAAATTAATGAACATATTTGTTGAACTGACGTTAGCGCAATGATTTAGCTCACTCATCTCACTCGGACGATGAAAAGGTAATTGTTGGATTATGTATATTTATATTTGTAGTATGTTTATTTATAATTAAGTCTGTACAATTCATTTGCACAACGTCACGCAAACTGAATTTAAATTGTTCATTCAACATTTTTATTCTTTTTTATAATTTATAAATAGATTAAAAACGATAACAGCCACAAAAATCAACACAACAACAACTAAACATTATTCACAAACAGATGTTAATTAAAATATATCAAAGTTCATGTGGCGGGAAGATGATTATGCCGGGCTGAAAGGCCGTTAAACTATCACTCAAACAAAAAAAGGTTAAAAGAAACAAACAGTAGAAAAACTGAACAATTGTTTATTAATCTTCATTTAGTTCTACTCGAACCTCAGTACTGGACTGCAATATAATAAATAAATAACTGACCTCTAACCTCAGTACTGGACTGCTATATAATATTATTATTATTAAATGAAAACTTATAAATCGCTTTTTAATAAAATCTCAAAAGCGCCTACAATAAGTGCAAGAAAAAATAAATAAGACAAAAGAAAGAAAGTTGATTGTCACTCAGTTAAATGTCAGAACACACATATATTAACACAAAATCAATTAATAAATAGATGACCAAAAAGAAGTAATACTAATTCAAATGACGATTTTTAGGATTTATCCATACAAGTTACTAGTTATGTACAAAAATTCAACGCAATAATCAACAAGCCTCACAACGAATTATTAACCGACACAAGAATTAAAACAACATAATGATAGTACCGTACCGTCTAATAAAGAACATAAAAAAAAACAAAACAAAAAATTTCATTTTCATAATCACATTTAATTACAAGAACCGAAATGCTGCTTAAAAAGCAGCAACTTTAATTGTTTTCAAAATAGAGGAAATGATATTCCAGGTAGACGGAGTGAGGTTGGCAAATTATTCCACACCATCGGTCCAGCAACAGCAAAATTTCTTTTACCAATCACCAAACGGGTTTGAGGAACGTCCAGCAAATTCCTATTATTGGATCTCAATCCTGGATAACCAGACGTTGAATCACGTTTAGTCAATCTACCGACCAAGTACGGAGGAACACGCCCGTTTAAAACTTTGAACATCAAAACAGCAATCTTTTAGATAATTCTCTTTTCAATCGGAAGCCAGTGCAGATCCAATAAAATCGGCGTTACATGATCAGATCTAAAACCTCCGACAACTAGCTTGGCCATGCGATTTTGAATTGACTGTAGTTTGGAGATTTCCAACATGGAGACACCGTAAAAAAGGCTGTTGCAATAGTCCAGCCTCGAGTGAATAAACGCGTGAGCCAAACTCTTTAGGGTAATCTCATTAAGTGAATTTTTTATAGCCCTCATCATGCGAAGTTGTTAGCGACTTTATGTGGCACTCCATTGTCATATTACCATCGAATACAACACCAAGATTACGAGCAACTTGACATAATTCAATCTTACTGTTGTTAATCTCAATCGAAGTGAAATTTAATTTGTTTATTTGCTGCCACGTACCAATTGGCAATAACTGGGTTTTGCATTGATTCAATTTGAGTTTGTGCTTGATCATCCAAGAATCAATCGCCTCCATGCACCGACCAAATTTGTCAACAAGAGCTTGAAATGAAGTAGCTGGACCATTGACAATGATTTGTATGTCATCTGCAAACCCATGATGCTCGAACCTGAATGAATCAATGATGTCGAAAACGTCAGCAGTGTATAGCAAAAACAGCAGCGGTCCAAGTACTGAGCCTTGCGATGCACCATGCTTTACTTCCTGAACAGATGATAAAACATCTCTGCGTAATATCTGTTGTTTTCGCGTTTTTTGAGAGATATGATTCGAACCAAATAAGAACAACACCTGAGATTCCAAAACATTGACGTAGCTTTCCAAGTAAAATCTCGTGATTAACACAATCAAAGGCCGCACTAATATCAAGTAATGCCAAGATTGAGATATTTTGATCATCAATAGCAGCAAACAACTCAGATGAAACATCTATCAGTGCAGTCTCAGTTGAATGAAATTTTTTAAATCCTGACTGACATTTTGGTAGCAGATCATTATGATTTAAATAACAAATTAGCTGTTTGTGGAGAATTCGTTCAATAACTTTTGACAAAAATGTTAGATTTGACACCGGTCTATAACTTGATAAACTATTCTTGTCTAGTGTCTGCTTTTTTAACATCGTAACAACAATTGAATATTTAAAAGCCATCGGGAAATGCCCATAAGTTAAACATGCATTTACAAAAACAGTCAAAAACGGAAGAATCAGATGAACGTATTTTTTAAGTATTTTAGTTGGCAAATCATCCAGTGGGCACGACTTTGTTGGTGAATCCAAAATAACTTGACGAATCTCATCACTGGAACAGCACTGAAATAATGAAAGTTCAGCACATTCACTCATCCGATTGTTTGAAACAATAGGCTCTTTGATACAAGGCATCGTCTCTAGTATGTTGTCAACCTTATCTTTAAAAAATTGAGCAAAATCATCAGAATTTAACTCATCTGACATGTTAAGCGAATCAACAGAATTCATCTTGCATAAAACCCTGTTAATTGTCATCCAGAGTTTCTTTGGATTGGAACATTTATTCAATCATATTTCTCCAGTAGGCTTTCCTTTTTTCTGAGAGCAATGACTGTTTCTTCAACATAGCATCAACGAACCTTTTCTTGCTAACATCTCCAGGATTAAGTCGATAAGCTCTTTCAAGTCTTCTGCAGCGTAGCTTAGTCTGCCTACACTCTTCATCGAACCAAGGCGAAGCAGCATTGTTTCTAGTCATCTCATAGTGTTTCGGTGCAACAATATCTATAATATTTTTAACTTCTTTTTTGTAAAGATCAAATAAGTATTCAGGATCATCTGATTTAAAAGGTCCATTAATAGGTGAGTTTATTATTAACGCGGCAAATTTATCAAAATCCACACGATTCCATGAACGAACCAGTCTTTTCTTTCTAACAAAATAATTTAGCGGAATCGAAAAACATACTTGGACCAGACCATGATTGGAATAAATACCATATGAACCTACGGTACATGAGGACACAGGCAATTCCATTGAGGATACCACTAGATCCAAGATACCACCGTGTACATGGGTAGTTTCCTTAACTCTATTTTCAAGGTTAAATGCATGAAAAACATCTACCAACCGGATTGAATGAGTATCTCCAACTTTTTCCAAATGGACATTCAAATCCCCCGTAAGAATGACATAGTCCGCCAATAACAAAATCTGCTCCAAGAGTGATGTAAGCTCATCAAAAAATGCAGGAGTAATGGGTACAGAACCCGGTCGATAAACTGCCAATAACAGAATCGTTTTTTTACCGCACCAAAATTTAATAGCAAGTGATTCAAAGGAATTTACCACTGGTAATTCTATTTTTTAACCTTGAAAACATTCTTAAAATATACAATTATTTCTCCATGATTAGGGTCGTGTGGGCGCAAATAATCCATAAATGAGAAGCCATAAGGCATAGCCAATTTCACAGAAATATCATCAGATGATCCATGCCATGTTTCGGTCAGTACACATATATCTAAATCATTTGATAACAAATCATGAATTATATCATATTTTGACCGAATGAATCTAATATTAAGCAATCCCAAATTTAATCCGGTTTGGTAGCAGGCCTTGGATATCTCACTATTCTCCATTGCCCGACCACACCTCTGACCCGATATAAAAAATGACTATCTTTAGATTTCCGCGTTTTTGCCTCAAGAACCAATTTTTTAAGTTGCAGACGCTGGCCCGTTGTAAGGTCATCACTAATCCTCACTTCCCTCATTTTTTCATCCAGCAGCGCTAATCTGAACAATCTTCTCATAACCAGGACTTTTGCAGAAAGGTTGATAAACATAACAATCACTGGACGCGGGGGAGACGATACGCTTGGCTTTTTACCTTGTCTGAATATTTTCAATATGTCCTCATCTTTCAGAGACTCGTCTGTTAAGGACCTTAAAAAGCCAAGAACATTACCCCTATCTTTAGCAACATCCAAGTCTTCGCTGAAATTAAAGAGAACTATGTTGTTCTCACGGGCCTTAACTTCATTTGCCACTTCAATTGTTCTGCGAACAGAGATGACCTCTTTACTAACTACGTCGAGGTCCTTTTTTACCACATCGAAAAATGAAGTACTGATCATATTTCTCAAAGTAGCAGCCTCGTTATCGACAATTTTAGAATTACTCTTTACCACGTCTGACCAAAACTTGGTGATATCGTTTTTCAAGAAATTAATAGACTGGCTAAGTTTCTCGTCTAGTTTTTCTAACTGTTTTAGGTTCTCACCGCTTGACTCAAGCCTCAACTGCAGATTTTTCATCCCAATATCAATGGAATCAAACGTTTTAAGACTAGAATCAATGGATTCAAATTTTTCGTTAAGCATCTGCAAAAGACCTTTAAAACCATCAGCATGTTTCACGCAATTATCACAATAAAATTTCATGTTTTTACTTTTGCTAGCATATTTCACCAATTCATCATATAAGTCCGAAGGCTCGATTTGAACCACCGCATCACATACACAACATAATATGTTATCATCCTTTACAGAAGCAGATCCCGGAATTGACTGACTTCTCTGAGATCTTGTTTTAGACATGTCTTAATCGAGCACACAAACGAAGTCTATGGAGAAAATGCAGTGGTAGATACAGGTCTTTAGCACGATGCAGCAGCTGCACTGTCGAAGCCGTTTCAGCGACAGCCAAGGTAGTTTTATATTCTGCAACAACAATGACCAAAATTTTCTTTCAAATCACTGTTGATATTCCAGACAAAATAACAGAACAACCGAAACAATGCAATACGTCTAAAAAACAAGGAGTGATAGCTTACAATTTAACAGAAACGTATTTACTTAAGATTTAAACTAAAAAATTAAATTAGTTGCTTAAGTTCTAAATTATTCAAAGAAACAAAAATATATTAATAATCATCTCTAATTAACCTATCAATTAAACCTAATTTGAACAATATGCACTCTGAAAAAACGCCGAAATTTAAGAAAAATTACGAAAAATCAACAATCAATATATATATATATATATATTCCAATTGAATATATATGTATGTATATATATATATATATATATATGTGTGTGTGTGTGTGTGTATTGGTAAAAAAAAAATATATATATATAAATATAAGGTTTTCGGATGGACATGTCTGGTTGAATATTACCCCTCATTTAGTAAACCCCGAAGTTTACATCAGTGCCGGTCTTAAAAGGGGGGCGAGACCGGGTAACTGGGGGCGCCTATGCAGTCTGCAAAATAAACACTAAATATTTTTTTATAATAAAAATAATTTGAAAATAGATTTAGTTAAACTTACATCTATTTTCAACATAAAATAATTTTTTCGTGGAAATTAATTTATTTTTCATACTAATAATTTGTTAGAAATACTTTAATCCAAAAATTTATAAATTTTATCATAATTTTTTCAAATGTTTCTGTAACTAAAATTTATTTTTTGCGCTCTTATTCTTTGCGGTGCTACATTTTGTGTCTCACCTAAACTCATTTTTGATTATTGCAGGTTTAGCGATATTTTGACGGGCGTACTTTTTATTGGTTAAATAATTTACGATTTGGTAAATCATGATATGAAACTTGTTGAGAAACTAAAATTGAAAGTTTTAAAGCAATCCGACACCAAATAGGTAGCGTGCAAGATGCTTAAATTAATATATATGAAACTAGTACCAAGACTCCTGACATTGCACACAAAGCACTTTTATTAACAAAACAATTAAAAAATTATAGTTTTCAAATTTCTTTAATTGCTTGGTAGAGTGTACTTTTTCAAATAAACGTTGTTAGTAAAGCGATGCAAGCCAAAGACATTGATCTGTTACAGTGCACTTAAATGCTTAAAAAATATATGAAGTATAAAGAAAATTACAGAATGTTTGGCTTCAAACAAGCAATGGTTTATGCTAAAGAATTAGCTGAAAACTTTAACTTTTAACGTACATTAAAACCAATGAAGAGGGTGCGACGAGCGAAATGTCATTTCGATGAAAACACCGCTGACGAACCAATCCATGATCCAGAGAAGAAACTATAAGTGGAATTTGTTTAACCCCTTATTAGACACGTGTCTATCATCAATTAAAAAAACTATTTAAACAATTGGTTAAATATGTAAATGTATGGGTTATTATTTAGTTTGGATAATTTGCCCATCATGTGTGAACCTTTGAAATTGTGTAAAGGTTTGCAAGAAAAATTAACCGTTTGTCCATTGTCTGATATTGATGGTGCTTTGGTATTTGACGAACTAATAAGTATTCAGTTTTTATTATTAAAGATAAAATAAGTAAAATGGAAGTTGAAAAAGTTGAAAAAAATGACATTGTATTGAATTTTATTAAAGAACATTTTTTACAAGAGTTATATCCAAACAAATGGATTGTTCTGCGGTTTCTTCTTACAATACCTTGTCGGATTGCAAGTCCGAACGATTAAAACTAACAATTCTCAACGTGTCCAGTCTATCCAAACGAATACTATTCTTCTCTTTTCCTGCTCACTGCTCTTTCTGGTTTAGTGTTTTCTTACATAAATAAGCGCTACCGCAACAACCAGTAACTGTTGCAAGTGGGAACGTAGCATTTCTAAACTGAGCTAATTAAAACATATTTGAGAAACACTATGTTGCAAGTTATCAATCGAGCAAAAAATAGCAGAAAATTTATATTTTTCACGCTTGATTTTTCACATTTTTTACAAGAGTTATATCCAAACAAATGGATTGTTCTGCGGTTTCTTCTTACAATACCTTGTCGGATTGCAAGTCCGAACGATTAAAACTAACAATCCTCAACGTGTCCAGTCTATCCAAACGAATACTATTCTTCTCTTTTCCTGCTCACTGCTCTTTCTGGTTTAGTGTTTTCTTACATAAATAAGCGCTACCGCAACAACCAGTAACTGTTGCAAGTGGGAACGTAGCATTTCTAAACTGAGCTAATTAAAACATATTTGAGAAACACTATGTTGCAAGTTATCAATCGAGCAAAAAATAGCAGAAAATTTATATTTTTCACGCTTGATAAAAGATTTTGCTGATAAAAAATTAGAAAAGTTACATTTTAATAACTTTAATCAATGTTTACTGATTTGATTTAAAGAATTTGCTATCTGTGTAATAAAAACGTCTGTTGTGAAATTCATCTAATTGTGTTGCATTGCTCATTTATATACTTGTTCTCAATAAAACACATCCTTAAAAAATTCAATTTAATACATATTTTAAAATTAATTAAAAACTTTCAACCTAATATCTAAAATTTTTAGGTATTGGCCTTGCTTGTACTCGTTTGTTAATGTCAAGCTAACTACCTTCCATTTGTAATATCAAATTTTAAAATTTTATGAATAAATACGGAAACTAAAGAGTGACACCAGACCTTAAAACCCACTAAAAATGTTCGCGATTGCTTTTGAGGGCTAAATAGTATTCGCATTCTAAGTACACGGTGGTCATATAACAAAATATAATGAAATAAAAATAACCAAAGTATCTAGAAGTCTGAAATCTTAAAAGGAAGCACGACACAAAATCACCAGAGCGTGGAAACAGCGTGGAAATAATCAACCACAACAACAATCCATATAATCTAAATATTGCAGAATCTTTGCTTTTTAAGCAAAGACGTCCAGCAATAACCATCCAGCTATTGAAGTTCTGCCGTCTAAAAGAGTGAAAAGCGGCTAATGATGGCAGTGTAGCAAAGACATCAATCAGACCAGAATATTATAGAGAGATAACTTACCAGGATTCAAATATTCAGCACGGATGATTGCAAATGGTTGTCGAAAAAAGCTTTTTATTTTGTATTATATTAATTATATACTTAATTGTTGTAAATAATAAACAAATATGAAACAGAAATTTTGTTTATGAACTTAAACTCGAGAATGAATTGAAATTTGTTGTACGAAAAATTTAAAAACTGAACTGTAAAACAAGCTGATGTTTTCTGGCATTGTTTGAATAAAAAAAAGACCTTTTGCTCTTCAGTATAAAGTCAACGCTACCAGGAAGTTTTCAATTTATTTTACTATTTTATTATATTATAAAAATCCGGGAAAGAAAAATAAAGAAAATGGCCAAAAACACAAAAAGTGCCGCTTTCAGGAAAATTAATGTTGACCAGTACGAGGAGGAGCAGTACATCGAGGAGCAGCTGGCCGATGATTCTGCCACCGGACCGAACAATGCGGAAGTACAATCGCTGCTGGCCAAGTAAGTAACAAACAAACAAATCTAATTAATTAATTTCATTTCAGACGAAGGAGTACCTCGTCTGTCGCAAGATGTCTATGCTGCGTGACAACTGTAGAGGTTGCAAATCTATAAATTCAATTATCAGGCAAATCAGCAAACATGTTACAATGCGTCAATCAATCAATATCCTCTACCTACTCTACTTCTACTCGAATCATATTTTAAATTTAATATATTTTATAGTATATATAATAATATATATATAATTTATATTTATACAGATAAAATAAAAATTAATGTAATTTTTTAAACATGTTTTTCCATTTTGTTTTGGTTGAGTAAAGGCAATAAATAACAAAATAAAGTAAACTAAATAAAATCAAAGGTAATTGTGAAAAAATAAATCACCTGATCATCAGTTTCTTTAGTAGTTTGGGAAAGACTTGTTGAATTGTTTGAGTTACATATGTTATTGTTATTTAAATGTAAATTATTCAGGTTATATTTTTCAACTTCAAATTATATAAGTTTCGTGTTATTGGTTGAATTTTTTGGAAGAAAATCAAATTTCTTGTATATTTATTTTGTTAGCTAAAAGCAATAGTAACAGTTTTTTCCACAAGTATTCTAGAAAAAATTTGTATGGTTGGTTGTATATAATCTATAATCATGAATAAAAGTTTTTAAATATAATTATAATATGATTAACAATTTGAATAACTCGCTGGATATTTGATCTTGCAGAGGCAACAACATTGATGCTCTCATCACTGCCATCTCTACCCCGCCTGTCAATACAAAGAACCAGGCTGTCAAGGTGAAGAACAGTTTGATCATCTCCCTACTTTCAAATTATTCTTGGTTTTATTTTTGGTTTTGTTACAGGACAAAGCCCTTGAATTAGTGATGAAGGTGATGCTGTCTTTCAAAACATCTGAAATAGATGGTGCTGTTTCGAAACTTGACGAGACAAAACTCGACACATTGATGAAATACATATACAGAAGTTTTGATAAACCATCTGAGAATAGTAGCGCATCTCTTCTCATCTGGCACGATAAGGTTCTTACTCTTTCAACTGTTTGAAGTTTCATCCATCCATCAATTTCATTGCTTTTGTTTTAAATTAATTTTCCTTTCCATTCATTCATTTTTTTATAGAAAAATTTTTTAACTTTTTCATTCATTCGCTCATTCATTCATTTGTTCAAGTTTAAATAATTGGCCAAGTGATTTTGTTCATACCCCCATAAAATTAGCAGCAACAACTTTTCTGATCTCTGAATTTTATCAAATTCTCTGAAGGTGATTAATAAATAAATACACAAATTTAGTGGATAACTTGATAACTTTTTTTGAATTAACGTTAGATATGCCACATGCCATTTAAATTAATTAAACAACACACCAATTATAATCACGGGCAACAACACTAATTAATAACTGACAATCACAAAAACACTGGCAGGTGTTTGCAAAGACAGGTGTCGGTAGTATAATAAGAGTTTTGACTGATAGGAAACGTGTGTAAAACTCATTCCAGGCAACTCCATGGCCAACACGTGATGACATTTTGAAAAATTATTTTGTGGTTACATACAGTCACTTGAAACATTTGAAATTTAATTTGATATAATTATATATTAAATTTGGTTGTCACAGCAAATTATGTTTTTTGGTTTGCCTCGTTTTATTTCACCATCAGCAGTTTACTTTATTTTACAATGTTGTTTGACTCCACCATCAGTTGTTTCTTCAGATATGCATACATGTCATATTGAATATGTTTAATTGTTATCAAAATAAATTGAAGAATAAACTGCCAGATTGTATGCATTTCGGTTATATATTTCTGTAGTAGATGGGTGGTGTATGGTGTATAATATTTATGCATGCAAATAGGTTTATCACATTAAATCTAATTTTTTTATATATAATACAAATAAATTTAACATGTAAATATATAGTAGGCATATTACATATCAAATATAAACACACACACTATATATATATATATATATATATATATATTTTCATAGACGTACTAATACAAAGTAAGCAAAATGAATTTAAAACCTCAGTCTACACCAAAGCAACAAACAAAGGTTTATGCCTCAATGACAATAGCGAATGTTGTCAAATATATCTAGAGAGCACGATCTCTGCCTTTGTAAACTGAGCCTATACGCACTCTTCTGATATAGAAAGCAGGAGAATAGAACTAGATGGAATCACTTAACTACTCACTAATAATGGATATAAAAACTCCATGATCTAGAAAATAATAGAACGCAATGAACAAAAAATCAACAACAACGACAACAATGCAACCAACAATAGTAACAAAAATAACATAGTAATATACTATAAGAATCACATGTCAACAGCTTTCGAACAGGATGAAAAAATTATGAAAAGAATCATAAAAAATAACGTCCAAGCAGCCAACAAAAACGATAGTATTAAACTACGAATATACTACTCCAACCAAACAACGTTATCTCTTGTGATGAAGAACAACTGAACTAGTAAACCAGAATCGATAATGGATCATAGCCATCTAATATATTTGTTCAAATGTAATATTGTTGAGTGTGGACACCATAATTTTGAATATATTGGTTTGACGACGACAAAGTTATCGAGAAGATTCATGATGCACGTACAAAATTACTAGGTAAATCTTGGACCGCAATGTTGAAATCTAACATTGCAATAACAACCATTATAATTTACGACTAGCCGAATCAATACTTTTAGAACAAAGACATCCGATAATAAATATTCAACAACGGGCAATTGGAATCCTTCCTACTAATAAATTTAGAAACAGAGGATTCGTCGATAATGAAAACACGTAAAAGTGTTATATTGGACGAAGTTGAAGATTGCAAAACTAATTAAATGAGCGTTAAGTATTCACTTAAAACAAACAAGGAATCAACAAAGTAGAATATTTGAGCATCTGGACACATACACAACATCAATTTGAACACCGAAGATGGTATAGGAACACCGAAAAAAGCTTTTTTTGTTCTATCATGCATTAAACAAACAAAAATTTTGGTTTTGAACTCAAGAAACTTGAGAATGATTTACGATCAACATTTAGAAAAATTGAAAAGTTAAACAGGAAGTTAACTAACGCCAAACATGCTGTGATTTTCATCAATAATTGCATTTCTGACAGTCTTAATCCAATATATATATATATATATATATATATATATATATATATATATATATATATATATATATATATATATATATATATATATATTTATATAAGACATGTGTGCGCGTAGTAGGGTTACACGTTTTATGAGGATGCGTGTGATGTGTTTACGGTGTGCTTATAAACGCATTTTTATATAAAAAAAAAAACTGGTGTAAGCAAAAAGAAAAAGTGGATTTTCTACGTTATGAAAAAATTGAAGTTTCTATATGCTCCAAAGAGAAATTATTTAATAATCATCAGAAAAGTCATGTTAACAAAAAAAGATGTATCTTCATGATTGGGAAGTTGATATGTATTCATCGACAATTTCGTACAAAGTCTTCAACTGCTCCTGCATAACGATTTTAAACGGTTGATTCAATTTTTTATATTTGAAAAGCTGGTTTGATTACCCATTATTAAAAATATTCGTGCCAGACGACAATCACCAAATGTGTACATGGGCACCGGCTAAAATGAATGATCTGACTAAAACGCTTTCTACATATTATTGTATGTACGATACTGTTAACTGTTCTACTTTCCATGGCATTGCTTATACAAAGTTTTTTTTATATTTGTAATTAATTTGTACTTAAGATTAACTTGCGTGCTGTAACTAACCATGCTGCTGACAAATTCAGGTCTAGATTTCTGAATCAACTTGACTGAATTGAAAATATCAATTTCTTTAGTGGCTTCGTATTTATCGATGGTGTTCAAAAGAGCACAGAACAAACCACTTCTCTCTGCTCCATTCCTGCAAAAAATCCAGTGATATATCAGTATTTCTCAAAACTTGAATTAGGTGGAGTTATTTGAGTGGGGCTATGACAGGTACATTAAGTTGAAGACATTTGTATCACTTCTGTGGTTTGAGAAATGACGGGGTGGGTGAATTCTGATTGACACTCAATTCTAAAGCACACTCAAGTTACAACAATACCTGTGTGAAATAATTACATCTAAAAGAATAACTTACAGACAATGAATAAGAACGGAGGGATTGGCGCTTCTCTGCAAACATTTGGAAACTTCGGATACGAGCGTCAACAGCGCCATCTTTTTTTCCCCTGCACTTATGCCTTCCTTCCAATTATTTACACGAATATGTCTAACGTCGATGGCCGAGGGGTCTGAAGAAATTCGCTTCGAGGATATGCGAGTGTCGTTTAGAGGCTCCATTTCAATGCATTGATTGGAGAATGAAAGGTAGTTGGCAGGCGATACTTCGCAGGAGTTCGAGGAGGAGGAGGAGGATTTGAGGGAAGAGCTCTGCAGGGAGATGAAAACAGTCACTGACCACTAATAAAAAATAATATTTCATCACTCTGCATACAATTAAAATTAATACTTCAACATGTTTTAAAATGTGTACAATAGATTTAATAAAAATTTTTAAAATAAAATTTGTTGAAATGAGAAACTTGAAATGTACATATAACATTTCTCTTGATAAATGAACCGACAACATTATTTTCGTCCTTCACTATGCATTTATAAATATTCAATAAATTATTGCTATACTAATAAATACTTGAGATAAAATTGTTTGTAAGAATTCGATGACCTTCGTATGTTTGAAATAGTTTCAACTAATTTAAACATAAGAAAGAATATATCCTAGCTTCCTAAAATTGACTTACAAACAGAACTTCGTTGTAACAAAGAGTACCTTATTTATAGAAACTTCAGAAACTTTTAAGCTTGACACAAAGACATCTTCACTGGAGATTTCTCCAGTGTTCAAGATGGTGAGTGGGCCAAATGATAACGCTTGTCCATCTGAAGGCCAGTAATTCTGCACGGGAAGATCAAATATTGTTGAGGTATACAGTATCATAAATATCAAAATTTAAAACGGAAATATTAGGTCCAGCAAAATAATTTCAAATCAAAATTTTCAAAATCTAATCCTCTAGTGGTTACGGGGACATCCCACCATAACAAATTCTAACACTAATTTTGTTTCGTTTTTTTTTTGTTTATTTAATTTTATACAAATTAAATGTATTCCAGTTTATATAAAAGTTTAGAGCATTTCTACAACTATGCAATAACCTCTGAAAACTCAAATAGTTATGATGAAAAACTGGGAAAAAACTGCAGTCACCTACTTGTTCATCTGGCAAGCACTCATTGAGCATGACAATAGCACAGCAGTTGTACTGTTTCACTAAGGCCCAAAACATGTTCTCCGTCGACTTCATCGGCATGTGGGTAACGATGAACTTGTCTTGTTTCTTGAAGCCCTGCACATTTTTAAAATAATTTTTGATGGCAAAGTAGTTGATGACTTAAATGAAAAATATATGTTTAATTGAAAACACTCAAAATTTAATATCAAGCAAAAAATGAAGCGTGCATTCATATAAAAAAAATATCGTACCTGAACGAATATAGCGTTTATGTAATTTTCATCAAAATCATTTTCTCTCAGGTTATCTACTTTAATGAAAGGCTTGAAATCGTCAACTGAAAATATTATTGAAATAAAAACAAACAATTTCATAACCTAGTATAGTATTAATTAATTATTTATTTATTAAACTATTTAATAAAATTATAAAGATACCTGGTAATATTTTTGAAAATCTATTTTTATTCCTATTCGCCGGATTTGTACCATGAGTGAAATTTCTGGGTAGGTACATGGGCTTCAGGGCTTCAAGCAACTTCAATGTTTTAATAAAAGAATTTATAAAAATACATATTTAATATTTCAACTATTTAACTTTCGGACCTCATGTTGGAGTTTCAAACTGCAATCGCCCGCATGGTTAGGAGTTTCGAGGGTCAGAAATCTTTCTTTGAAGTCTTTCTTTGTTGAAGAAACATCTCCGACCAGCAACTTCTCTATGACTGCTGCATATGTGAACAAATACTGATCCTGAATAAATAATTTGACAAAAAAAATTGAACAATCTTGCAACAAAAATTTGCATCTCAAACACACTTGCATACACTTTCCTAGAAATTCTACATTAGTTATAACTTTAAGTTTTATAAAAAAATAATGGTGCACAATTTCACAGAGTTAACTGAGCTGAACATCAATGTATAACGAATATATTACTAAAAAATGTAAGCTTATCACATTTGATATAAATTGATAAGATAACCAACAAATTTATCTGATTGAAATTGACATGTAACTCGTTTTTTGAAGATTAAAAATTTGTTTACATTTATTTTTACCAAATGCTTTGAAATTTTACTAAAGCATATGGCCTAGGTTTGAAATTTTACTAAAGTATATGGCGTAGGTTTGTAATAAAAATTCAAATTGCCATTCATGTTAGAAAACACATAAAATCGGGTGAATTTATATAATTTTCTATGTAAAATTTTCAATGTTTCTCTGTTACAGCCATAATTACAGAAACTTATAGAAATTTCAGTTCAGCCCCGCTTCATCGTGATTAGTGTTTGCTTTTTCCATTCTGAATCGCCAATTGTTGTAGTATTGTTCTTTTATCTTAGATGTACCAGCGTTAGCGCTAAATTCAGAATTCTATATATTTCTAACTTTTTCATGATTTCTATGATTTGACTCATTATCATAATGTAAAAAAAGATTGTCTGTCAAAGATTTCCTTGAAAATTATTGAATACGGTTGACGAGTTGGCTTATACAATGGAAATGCCTATTCACATTTTGCGCTGTTGTTAATGACACGGTTCGAATATTGTCTGTCCAAAACTCGAAGACTACCACAAGTTTCGTGTGCTTGATGATAGGTCTCTTGTGGATATAAAATATGTGCGTGTGAGCGTCGTGTGGTGTGAATGCAGAGCCTTTGTAGCACAAAAGTTCAATTCTTACCAAGCGAAGAATGATTTGTAAACAGCCGCTTAATAAGTGAAAAAATTATTTGGTTGGAAATTTTAAAGCAAGATCAGTCGCATGTTTATAATTTGCATAATTAAACAGTTTTGATATTTATGGGCCGTTCTATTACGTTAGAATATATTTCTTTATTTCACAAAGAAAAAAATTTATAACTATTACAAATGATTTATTCATGATTTTTTATGCAAATCGCAAAAAATTCTTTGTAAATAAGAAATTTTTGAGAAAGATAATAAAATATAGATCAGAACAAAAATAGTAATGTAAAGTCTAACAAGAATCCATTGACTTAATAACTTACACTTGCAATCAATCGATCAATCAACTAGCTTATAAAGCGCTATTTCCGCGATGTTCAGCAGCGCTCTTCAATGAATTTTGAAAACAGATGGGTCTTGAGATCCGCTCTGAACTTCGCACTTCGCAAGTGATGGAGAAGTAGTTAGAGAAGTAGGTAGAGAGTTCCAGTTAAATTTGAAATTTCATAAAAATTGTATGGTGACCGAATTATCATTTCAGAATAAAAAATAATGGAAAAACGCATATAATTTTAATGAACAATTAATGTAATCTCACCACAACTTGAACCATAGCCATCCTCCTCCTCCTCATCCTGTCCACATGAAACCTCACATCGATGCAGCCCTCCTCGGCAGCTTGCTCCAACAAAATACCGATAGCCAGTAAAGTCCCTGTCCGTCCAACTCCAGCACTTTTTAATTTTTAAACATTTGTCGTAAAATTTCATTCCAGTTAAAAAAATCTTAATTTAAAAATGAATCGATGCATAATGGGAAATGTCAAAAATGCCCTCAACATGTAACAATTCGAAAATTTGTTGGGTGCTACTAAACTAAATGTGCTGCTTACAATAACTTTGAATGATTCATATGTTGACCGGACTTTATCAAATTTTCCTAATTAATGTAATATTAATTGGCATAACAAAAAATTACAATGAAGAAAATAGACAACTTTCATATGATTATCATACGCTTGAACGCACCTGCAATGGGTTATGATTGGTTCTTCCATGGAGGAATTATTTTTAATGGAAGCCTCATAAAATTTTAGAATGGAAGAGCAGCTGTTTGGAACTCCTTTGTCCGGCCACTCAGTATAATGGTACTGTTTGACGCTTTTGCTTTCACCATCCTTATGTTGAAAGTTTCATTATTGCATGCATTTTTATTTGGTACGATATTGAAAAAAACATTTCAAGTTTGTCCGTTTAATGGTTTTAGGAAATGTAAATGTAAAAGTTTATTGTGAACGGTTTATTAAAATTTTCAACTGTATCTCAATAAGGACATTATCATAATCATAATTGCACAAAATTCCGACCACGCCTTAAAAATCGTTAGAAACAATTATATCTACCATCACAAAACAAGACCATTTTCGTTCATGCCAGGAAACAACACCGTTCAGTGTATTCACATCATTCCTACATTACACATCACTCCATCCAGGGTTCATATACTGCCATAGAAACCAACTTTTGTAAGATAATATTCTCATCTTGAAACAGTGTGCAATAGAAAAGTGAGAAGAGTTAATTTTTAGGAATTTTGATGCATGAATGTATCCATTCAAATAAATTTACCACTTCCTTCCAGGGTTCACTTACAAGGGCCTGCACTCCCACTAAACAAACATGCGTGCAAAAATATAAAATAACAGCAACATTTACCTACACTTCAATTAGTCATCTTCAGCTTACGTAATATTATTTTTAAAACACAATTGTCGAAAGAATTTAGAAAGTCATGCAGCCAGAGTTTTAAAGAACCTACACAATCGCTATGACTTTCAATCATTGTTGTTTCTTAAGCGTAATTATTATCGTTAGTGCTGGTAGTGGTTAACTATGTAAATAACGTTCAACGGTGGTCATATAATGTAATATATAATTTTGAGATATTCATATTAATATAAACATATATAATTATTATATATATATTATATTATAACTTCCTGTTTAATTTTTCGATTTTTCTAACCATTGTCAAAGTTTTTGAGTCAAAACCAAAATTTTTATTTATTTTAAGCATAATAAAAGATTTAAGCATAATGGAACAGAAAAACATTTTTCGGTATTCCATACCAATTGCCCACACTCGCCTTACATTTGAACAAATATATTAGATGGCTATGACCCATTATTGATTCTGGTTTACCAGTGCAGTTGTTTTTCATCACGAGATGACGTTCTTTGGTTGGAGTAGTATATTCGTAGTTTAATACTATCGTTTTCGTTTGCAGCTTGGACGTTATTTTTTATGATATTTTTCATGATTTTTTCAATCTTTTCGAAAGCTGTTGACATGTGGCTCTTATAATATATTACTATGTTAATTTTGTTACTATTGTTGGTTGCATTGTTGTTGTTGCTGCTGATTTTTTGTTCTTTGCTTTCTATTATTTTCTGGATCATAGAATTTTTATATCCATCACTAGTGAGTAGTTTAGTGATTCCATCTAGTTCTGTTCTCCTGATTCCTACATCAGAAGAATCCGTATGGGCTCGGTTTAAAAAAGTAGAGATCGTGCTCTCTAGATGTGTTTGACAACATTCACTATTCCCATTAAGACATAAAATTTTGTTTGTTGCTTTGGTGTATGTATACTGAGGTTTAAGTTCATTTTAGGCATTTTGTATTAGTACGTCTAGAAATGATAGTTTAATGTCAGATGTTTTTTCAGTTTTAAACTTAAATTTTGATGAATTTAGTCGTGAAAGTTTTTCTACTTGATCATCTTTATCATATGTAATAAATATATAGTCATTATATTTATATATTTGGCTTTAACTCTATTTTTTTAATGACATTTCTTCGATGTGTCCAACATAGAAGTTTACGAAGAGTACTCCAATGGAGAGCTCATTGCTATACCGTCTGTTTGCTGATTTAATGTGCTACACAAGCCATTGAAAGACTCGACATTATATTCGTAGCAGCGCCATTAATTCATCTTTTGGAATCGGTAGTGGTGAATGAAAGGAGTTGTATATTCTATCTATTATTATGTTAATTGTATATTCTATCTATTATTATGTTAATTGTATATTCTATCTATTATTATGTTAATTGTATATTCTATCTATTATTATGTTAATTGTATATTCTATCTATTATTATGTTAATTGTATATTCTATCTATTATTATGTTAATTGTATATTCTATCTATTATTATGTTAATTGTATATTCTATCTATTATTATGCTAATTGTATATTCTATCTATTATTATGCTAATTGTATATTCTATCTATTATTATGTTAATTGTATATTCTATCTATTATGTTGATTGCATATTTTATCTATTATTATGTTAATTGTATATTCTATCTATTATTATGTTGATTGTACATTCTATCTATTATTATGTTAATTGTATATTCTATCTTTTATTATGTTGATTGTACATTCTATCTATTATGTTAATTGTGTCTTCTACGAGGACATCTGTATAAAGTAACTCTCATCCAAAATGATATTTCGGCGTTACTGTATGGTTTTGCTGTAAATAATAGGTCTATGAATTATTTACTTGATTTTAGGTTGTGGCTATTATGGGTGTAGGTTGTAATTATTTTATTGTGCATTTTTGCAATGAGGTAAGTGATCGCAAATTTTTGGCTGGTTATTGGTCGTAGATGGTTGTTGGCTTGGCTTCATGCGTCTTGACAGTACAGTAAGCATATCCTGGTTCATATTCGCCTGTGAGTATGGTTATTTTTTCTTCTGTTTTATCATTCATTCTTCTAATGGTTTCGTTCCATTTTGTCTCGAGCATAGCAGTTGGATCACTCACTACTAATTTTGATGAATTTGTTGGTGTTACCAAGAATGCTGTTCAGTTTGTCGTTGTCATTTCTGTCCATAATTACATCCATTGCAGTTTTGCCAGCTTTTCGGATTATAATGTTGTTGCTGTGTTTTAAAGTTGCAACAGCATCAATCAATTCGTTTGTAAGAATCTTACTTTTGAAATTGCCTCTTAACTTATATATATATATATATGTGTGTCTTCTTCTTTATTTGCAGCATGAATTCGGAAAATAAGTTTATTTTGAATTTTAATAAACTAAACGTTCACCAAAAAACTTTAGTGAAAAAAATTGAAAAAACGAACTACAAACATATTAGTGCCAAACATTTGGTAGATTTTATAGAATATTGTATATATATATATATATATATATATATATATATATATTATTTATATATATATGTAATATGCGATATGAATTTTTAGCTTCCACGCTTATTAATTAGTACTTACAACTTACAATTATAACATACTAGAGCGTAATTATTTCGATTATCATTATAATTATAAGTATTATTATTATTATTACTGCGATGAATATAATCTTCACCGTTATTATTAATTTGTCGCGTAATGACTTAGTCATGACGACAATCTTTACAGGACATTATCATCAATAAGTACCAGCAGTCACGTCATGTTATTAGTGGCGTCTTAAAACAAAACGATTTCTAACTTTCTGAACGCTGAACTGCCTGACGATGTAGTCGTTGCATTTTTCCTGAGAAGTTAGTAGGATAGTGATGTCGTCAAAAGTGAGGTCACCAGACGGTTCGCCAAGCTTGTTTAAGAAGGGGAAGTATGGTGCACATTTAGGCTGCATGTAATTAAGTTATTGCAACTTTTAACAACATGCTAATAAACTAATAGTTATAATAAGAAAATAATAATAACTAAATAATAATATAATAATAATAATAACATTAATAATAACAAAAATAATCAAACAAACATTGTATAAAAAACACATACCGCACCGTCTTCAAATAAATTGGCCACCATGATGATGATGCTGCTATTTTGCTCCCACACCATCAGCCAAAAATCGTGGCAGGTCTGAGGCAGAGGACCTTGTTTGGTGTATTGTGAGGTGAGGTGTGTGGTGGTGTGAGATGATGTGCGATGGTGTGCGGTGGTGTGTGGTGGTGTGTGGTGTGGGGTGATAAGTTGTGGTGATGTGATGGTGTGTGTGTGGTGGTGTTTTGAGATTTGATGTGATGCGATGTGCTGACATGTTAAAAAAAAAAAACTCGAATTTTGACGAGTCTCAGAAACAAGTTAATCCAATCACGTACGTAACATGAAAGCAAACATACTTGCAAATATTTGTTTACAAAATAAAACGACACAGAAGTATCTTAAACTGAAAGTGAGGTTAAACCTTGCGTGGCAATGAAGGCGTTTTTTCTACTGTAACTCTGAAATTTAACGGTGAATAGTTACAAATGAAATAAGATTGATGAAAAGTTGAACTACGCAACCAACATCGATGTAGCTGGCATTGATGTAATCACAAGATGAGCCAATTAGTTTCACTCTGTCTTCGTTATCTTTGAATGAATGTTAAAAAAAAAATTTCAATAATGTTCAATAAATGTGTGATAAAAGTTAAATTATTCATTCAAAAAGTCCTTAAATTTTATAAAACGTAACAAATGTTTAGTATAATTTTTTAAAATACAACTTCTTGAAATTAGGTGAATTTAATTTTTAGCTATTCAATTTTTTCAATTTAAAAAAGATTACATTAGGTTTTTAAAGCATGAAGTTTATTAAATTTATTTAACAAAATTTACTGGTTTAATTGAGCCAGTGTTGTAAAAAAGCCGATTATAATCGAAAGTATATTTGACTGCATGCTTAGCTACGTTTCATTAAATTTCTCAAAAGTTTCCCAATAGATTAAATAATTTAATTGTAAAAATAGTAATATATTTCAATAATATTTGAATGAATAGAAGAACATTTGAATCGAACAACGAAAACGAACATGGTAGAATATCCATGAATCGGTTTTTGGAAGCGTTTTCAACCGCTTCGCTGCAGCTTTTGATTCGTGGTGGGTTGACAGGAGGAAGAGACTGCAAATGATTTTAAAATAGCATTACTTTCCACATCAGCCAGATGCGTCTATTACTTATCGTCAACATCTTTAAAAAGAATATTCTCTACTGTTTAAAATCTTTGAAAAAGTTTTTGACAGAACAATTTTTAAGCATTTGAAACTAAGTATTAAGATTGAAACGGGAAAATATGATTACTGTTATCAAATTTTTGAACGTGTAAAAATTTTTAAAAATATTTTTTAATTTTTATTTGTTTAGCGTAAAGTGACAGCAAATTCATTGAAATGCAACAATGACGTGGGCATTCTTGATAAGTTCGGCACCAAAAGAAACTTAATGAAATTATAATAATGAAATGTCACCTTAAATTCATCAAAAAATAAGCTTTTGTTTGATTTTCTATCTCTCAGAAATTGTAAAAGGTTGGCCACTTTTATTGGATTAGGAGCAGGTTCCGGGAAGTCAACAGTCCTCTCCTGGATAGCCTCATTTTCGTAACCTACGTCAAATAGTTTTATTGTTCAAATTAAGTCGCATTATAAAATCTTATTCAATTTAGTTTTATAATAATAAATGTCATTGTCATTTCTTTGACAAAATGCGTTTAATATTTACCTCCAAAGACTGGATGAACCGGTTTACGAGATCTGTAAAATTAATCAATCGCAAGTTCAAAAGTAATCACAACTTAATCAAATGGTTCGGCATAAATTAATTCATTGTCGTTTTTTCAATAAAATCATCTTACTTTTTTGTTAACAACAAAACAATGAATATGATAGCAGCGATCAAGAGACAAGCTCCTCCCAATCCAACACCAATTCCTATGGCTGTGCTATTTAGACTGGTTGCACCGGTACTGGCTACTTGCTGGGTGCCTGTGGCTGGGGTTGAAGTTGTTGTCGAACTTGTAGTAGTTGATTCACCTGATTCATGTGTTTCAACCGTAGAAAACTTTGTTGAGGTGGTGATTTCGGAAGTGTAAATAGTTTGAGCGGCAGTGATGGTGTGGTCAGCTGTAGTGGTGCTGGTAGTGTCGTTTTCAAGTGAATACGTGGCACTTATGATCAAGGCAACGAGCAGCAACGTTTTCCAAGCTGTGAAATGTATTTTGTTGAAAACTAATGCAAAAAATTGATTAAAAAAGTAAGTTCTTACCAAGATTTCCATGCTCGCAGTTTGTTAGCATTGTTTAAACTTTTCTAAAATTTTTACAACTGCGCGATATCAGATTATAATCAAATTAAAAGTTTCAAAAAGCTTCATGTTATATCAAACCAATTTTTTACCCATTATAATTATAATCTTTTAACGACGTGTATATTCCAAACTAAAAAAACTTCCTAGTTCACAAATAACTCCTTACATTTAATTATATTAATCATAAGAACGACAGCATAACAATAGATAGCTTCGTTCATTCATTTGAGGATCACTGAACGGGCCGTTATATACATATTTTACTTGAAATATTACAACTTAACCAACAAATTTTATAACATCTTTAAATTTTTTTACGTTCTTTGTTAACCACAGAACTCAGAGTTTGTTATATTTCTAATGAGACTAATAAAACGTGTTTAATTATAAATGTTGCAAAATATTTTGGAAGTGCTGTAAAATATTTTTAATACGCGTTAAATGTCTTGGATAATTTGTATTATTTCTCGTAAAACAAGCGGCAAGCGATTTAAATACTGAAAACTTAAGTTAATGTTGAACTCACAGAACACACAAACGCAGGCTGAGACAATTATTATAACCTTTGAAGTATCAATTATTATTAATGTACAAAGCTATGAATATTTAAATACTCGATTCACAACAGAAGAAAAAGGTCGTTTAGAAAGCCTGCATGCATACAATGTATGATGCAAAACTTTTTGGGACACAATGAGACAAAACACTAAGGCAAATAACAAATCACGCAAATTTACCGTCATATACACAATTTTTGAGAGAATTAACGATGCTTGTGCTACATTATTATATTTGATAATTAGTCACAATAAGTTTTGTAATCAATACAATTTATGTAAAATGTTAATAATTATTTGATATATTTACGGAAATAATTATTACTGAGGCGGCTGTGCTCGATGAGTCTTTAGAGGGACTTTTACTTTTTTGGTTCGAATAAAATGTTTTAATGAATTATTGTATTAAGCGAAACTAAAACTATCTAGAACTAACACCCATTTTTCGTTAACCGTTCAATCAACAAGAAAATCTAACGTTGATAAATGCAAAAAAAAAACGACAAAAGCTGTAAGGTTGGGAAGTTTGCTTTGCTCATTAGAAGTTAGGCGACGAATGTTATTGTCTGGGTGAACTTTACTTTAATTGAGTGTATTGTCATAAAAATTAATTTTTTTAATTCAAAAATATTAAAAAGAATCAAGCAAACGATATTACACATTTAGCTGGATAACAAATATTAATCACTGTCAATATCCATGTCATTTTGTGAAACATTTTCATCACTAAGATTCTTGTTAATAACATCCTCAGACTTTGGTTCAAAGCATTTGATATCGGATTTGCTTTTTTTATCAGATTTATGTTTGCTGCTTTTACTTTCTTTTTCTCCTTCCTTTTTTGAATCGCTATGACGAGATTTTTTAGATTTTCTTGACGGAGTCCTAGAACGTGACCTCGACTTTTTTCTAGATTCTTTTTTTGAGTGCTTTGTCTTACTTTCGTAAGAATCAGAAGTTTCTTTCCTACTAGATGTCGAGGGTTCTTTATAATCTTTAGACCTCCTCCTTTCCTTACTTCTCGATCTTCTAGACCTCGGAGATCTTGATTTACTCCTTCTGCGTACCCGCGATCGACGTGATCTGGACCTGCCATGTGATTTGGACCTGTGTCGCGATCTGGAAAGATACCTAGATCTTGATCGATGTCTCGAGCTTCTTCTTCTGGATCGCGACCTTCGAGAACGTCTGGAACGAGATCTTTTAGGTCTGAAATGTCTAGATCTAGATCTTCTTGACCGTGATCTTCTTGACCGTGATCTTCTTGATCTTGATCTATGTCTAGACCTCGATCTATGTCGAGATCTTGATCTTTTACCTCCATTAGTAACTGGGTCAATAGCAGCTGAAATTAGTGATTCAGCTTCACTAACTTTTTTCAGCGCCTCTTCTATTTCCTTGCTGGTAGCTGATATGCCAGGAAGTATTGGTGGTTTTACAATTGCAGTATTTGACGGTGTTATCTTCAAAAGTTGTCCAGCTAACGCCTGTCCATTCATTCCAAGAGCCTTCACAACAGAAACTTGATCTGTGAATTCAACGTAAGCACTCTTGATGCTCGCAGTTTTATCTCCAGCCATTCTCATATATTTTATTTCTCCAGCCTGAGTGAAAAACTGCATTAGTGATTCAGGAGAAATAGCACAATCAATTCCACTGACGTATATCGTTCTTCGAATTTCTTCAACTTTTGATAATTCTGTATTTGCTGGCAGGACAGGATATTGTGCCAATCCCTGATACATATTGGACATGTTAGAGCTATCCCCACTACCAAGTCCTAGTGCAGTAATCTCATCCGGTATAACATCCTCAGGAACTGGGACTACGATGAGAGCTTTGTCTACAAAAACTGTGTTTGTTAAATGAAGAGATACTGACACATCCTCCGCTAAGGCAAATTTCACAAAACAGACTTTTGTAGAATCATCTATCGCTTCAATTTCTGGATAAAGTTTGATATCGTCAACTTTTCCAACAAATCCAAAAAAAGTTTTCAATTGCTCCTTTGTGACAGCTGGAGAAACATTTGAGACTTGAATTACGTGAGTATCTTCAACTGTCATTTCGTTTTCCTCTGAAAAATTAATACAATTTATTTCTATCACAAATTGTGTGATATAACAACATATCTTAATATATATATATATGAACATCAATAAAATAGAAATTATCACTTATTCACTGTCAATTTTACGATTGAATTTGTAAAATGTGCTGACACTAAATCTTTAAAATAATTGTCGTAAATTATTTTTTTAAATTTTCCAACAAAATTGTAAAAATGGCATGTCTGAAACTATTAACTTAATCTATTAATTGAGACAATTTACGATTGAAATTGTAAAAATGACAAGCGTTTAATAAAATGAAATTATTAAAATTAGTAAAATATTTAAATTTTTTTAATTTTTTATAGAAGTTGTAAAAATGGCGTGCCATATGATGTATTACTAAGTTATACATTGTGTATAACTTCCGCTGGTAGTTCAAAATTTTGAAGATGATCGCATTTGATCTCTAATTTCTCCGATTATATTGAATTCTCCTCACGTAGCAATTCTTACTCAAATTTTCGGCGTACTCAGCCGGAAAAACAAACGAAAAGAGAGATAACAAATTTTCAAAGATAATAAAGACTAACATAGAATTTTAAAAGAAAAAATATTATCTAAATATTTTTTTTCTGAATTTGACAAAAATATTTTCTTTTAAATTTTTAGCATCGAACCGTTATTTATTTCGTTACGGTTTCGGTTTCGTTAAACTAGCAAACAATATTTCTGTTCAGTTCCGGTTCGATGCCCTGATGAACATACGTGAATCAACGCATCACACACTTTTGCATGTCTCCTTAGCTTAGCCATTACGCCATCGCGCCGCCAATTAAACAAGGTAAATAATTCCGTGTTAAGAATAATTTCTATGGAAGAAGGCGAAAATACAACATATTTTCTAAACTATTCAATGTTGTGTCAAATTGTTTGTTTTTATCATTTAATTAAATATTAAACACTTATTTAAGGATTTTATTTTAAGTATTTAAAAATTGTAAACTTTTGTAACTAAACAGTAAATTAACGTTTGTTATATATGTATATCCATACTTTAAAGCCCTAACTGTTCATGCAAAAAATAAGTGTCATTTCATGTCTATCACTGTCAAAATAGTTTTTCAAAATGCTCATGCCCACCAACGTTAAAGATACATAGCAGTATACTTACAAGCTTAGCATGCATAAGGCATTGAAGTATACTTACAAGCTTAGCATGCATAAGGCATTGAAGTATACTTTCCTGCCTACCATGCATAGCCATTACAGCAGTTACAGCATTAAAAATGAATGTCTTTTTAAAAACATTTCCCTCGTAAATATGCTATTCTATTTCAATTTATTTCATTTTGCTACATTATTATATTTGACAATTAGTCACAATAAGTTTTGTAATCAACACAATTTATGTAAAATGTTAATAATTATTTGATATAGGGGAAAGTTCCTAAAACGCACCCTTTAAGGAATTTTGGCTTGTAGCTGTTCCTTAACATCAAATACAATGGCTTATACTATTCCAATAAATGAAATGGCATGTAACAAGTGTGAAAAGAAAGAAATTGGCCCTCAATATTTCAAATAAAAACGACAGCAGGTCAAAAAAATATTTGATCGAGAGGGTGCATTTTAGGAAAGGTTTTCCCAAAACGCACCCCCAGGTGCATTTTGGGACATCCAAGTAAAATTGATACAGCAAGCATATTAGGTGCTTTATAATTGCGATCTATCAAAATAAAGTAAAAAATAGGTTATAACAATAACACTGATTTACAAGGTTTTTCTTCTTGAGACATTATAAGTGATTCTAATAGAGTTTTTTATGCTGAAAATGAATATGAAAAAAAAAATTTAGACCAAAACCAGATTCAATTTTAGTTGAAATAAGTTTTGATAAAATGTTTATAAATGGCTCTGTTTCATTCAACAAAAATCACAAACAAATCCTCTAATCCCTTCATAAGACGTGCACTGTTCGTACCACCATACATTACAACCACTGCACCGAATCCAATCTTCTGTTCCACCCACCTCATCACATCCTGGACAGATTTCATTATCTTTATTTTTCGGCGTGCGTTTGTCACTGTCAACAATTTTCTTCTTTGGCACTGTTTTCTTGGTTGTAGAAAAGCAGATTGTGGAGGAGCTTTCTTCCCTCGAGCAGCCAAAGAAGCAGCCAGTTTTCTTCAGCTTCTTTTTTTTAAGAATTAATTTTCTTCTGGCTTGATTTTCTACCTTCATTTGCTGCAGTTGATGCTTTTCCAACAGAGCTTGTTTGAAAGGTGTTGATGTCAGCGCTTCTGCTGCTTCAGCCTTTCTTTTTCCAGATCGAGGCTCGGCTTTTGGTAATGGAGACAATGATTGTATCATGACCTGAATTGAAGAACCTGGAACCACAGTGTCTACGACTGATGAACTTGCAACCACGGTGTCTGCGACTGATGAACTTGCAACCACGGTGTCTACGACTGATGAACTTGCAACCACGGTGTCTATAACTGATGGACCTGCAACCACGGTGTCTATGACTGCAATAATGACATTTAGGTTACATAATTGAAAAATTACCTAAATTTAACAATCTTTAATAGGTTAAAAAGGAAATGATGGACTAAATTGAAATAGTTACCTAAGTTGTTTTCAGTCATCAATGATGGTGCAAATTCTGTATCTGTGAAGATGTCGTTATTGTATGGCCAGATTCCTCCACTTCTAAAACCGGAAACGCCTTTGTCAATAGTTGCACATTTCATGTATGCAGTTCCAAAAATTCCTGCAATTTCGAAGAAAGAGATTCTTTTTCCTGGGTTTGAGATCATCCACTTGTCACATTCACTTCGATAATATCCTTTCAATGGACCAAAAAAAGTTAAATCTAGTGGTTGGATCCTGTGAGTGCAATGTGGAGGGAAGCTGATAAGGTCTATACCATGATCTCTGGCAAATGTAATGGCTTCTAGTGATTTATGGCTAGCATGTCCATCTACTAGAAGTATGACTTTTCTTTCCAGGGTTGGCTTAACAACATCTGTGAAGTGCTTTAACCACTTCACAAAAACCTCACAGTCTGTCCAACCACTTTTGGTTGCAAAGCCTAATGTTCCTGGTGGTGCTCCTTTTAACAACTGAGGATTCATCCTTACTCGTGGGTAAATCATTGCCGGTGGTAAATAGGATCCATGTGCATTTACTGCGCATATTACTGTTACATTTTTCCCCTTCTCTCCACTCGTAATCTTGCCAACTTGTTTAGTGCCCTTCTTGGCAATAATACGCCCAGGCTTGTGGACAGTCGTCACACCACTTTCGTCCATATTCCAAATCCTTGAACATTCCATGGTTAAATCTTTTTCAAGTGCATTTTTTAGGATATTAAAAAATCTTGAAACTTGAGGACGATTGAATGCAACTGCACGAGACATGCTAGTGGCCTCCGGTTCACGAACTGACAACTCTGGGTGACGTTCAATAAATCCCAGCAACCATTTATTCCCTGCCATTTGTTTAGTAGAATTAAATGGATGAGACAACTTCTTCATTTCCACCAACTGGAAGGCAAGTTTCCGAATGTCCATTGATGTGAGGCCATAAAATCGTTGTTGCATTTCAATTGCATGATGGACAATTTCTGTCTCCATTTCATCCGATAAAATCAGTCGGAATCTACCAAGCTTTATACATCCTGGTTGTCGGATAGTGCCTTTCATATGTCTTTGAAGTGTTCGACATGGTATAGTATACTTTTTTGAAACACTGGGATATGATTGACCTTCACGTAAATCCTCCAAAGCTTTCTTCAAATTTTCTGAGCTATAATTTCCTCTTGTGCTTTTTTTTATGTAGTAACGACCCATCTGTAAATGATAGGAAAATGATTGTTTTAGTACATAATAAATATGTTAATAACAAAATTAGTAGGCATTAAGTAAGCAAACTGGTACCCTAGCATTGCATATCCATAGTATTTGTAAAAGGCAAGTATATAATTATGTCATAATTATGGTTTTTTAAGGCAATTTTGTGTTACAAATTATAATGACAACATTGTGATTGTAATATAATAACAATGTGGCCATTATAATTTGTAACATAAAACTACCTTAAAAGTTAAACCCTTAATTATTATGGTTTTAACTTTTAATTATTATGGCATAATAATTGAAAATATAATCATTATATTTTAATAATTTAATTTTATAAAATGTTCTTTAATTTTATTAAAAAATTGCTGATATTTTCCCAAGACACACCTCATGGTGCGTTTTGGGAATCAATGGATGGTGCATTTTGGGAAAACTCACAGAACTCACGTAGACGACCATCTCGAAAATACCGTACAAAATATTGATATTATTTTAAATAGCATTTATTCACTACAGGATTAGCAACATTTTAAGATAATATACATTAAGAAATAATAATTCTGAATGACTGAAGACGAATTTTAAGAATTGATAAAATTATCGAAAAAGGTAAGAAAACTTACTTTTGTTCGTGAAGCAGGCTCGTATTCAAAACAAACGCGCTTTCGATGTTAAAAGTTTACTTCCGATAGACCAAAAGCGAATGGAAATAAAAATTCAAAATTTATGGTACACGTTATTTGAATTTCACTGGGGGTGCGTTTTGGGAGTGGAGTGCGTTTTAGGAACGCTCCCCTAATACGGAAATAATTATTACTGAGGCGTCTGCGCTCGATAAGTCTTTAGAGGGACTCCTTTACAGTCAACGTTTTACTTTTTTGGGTCGAATAAAATGTTTTAATGAATTATTGTATTAAGCGAAACTAAAAAAAATCTAAAACAACACCCATTTTTCGTTAACCGTTCAATCAACAAGAAAATCTAAAGATTGGTAAATTCAAAAAAAAACACGACAAAAGCTGTAAGGTTGGGAAGTTTGCTTTGCTCATTAGAAGTTAGGCGACGAATGTTATTGTCTGGGTGAACTTTACTTTAATTGCGTGTATTGTCATAAAAATTAATTTTTTTAATTCAAAAATATTAAAAAGAATCAAGCAAACGATATTACACATTTAGCTGGATAACAAATATTAATCACTGTCAATATCCATGTCATTTTGTGAAACATTTTCATCACTTAGATTCTTGTTAATAACATCCTCAGACTTTGGTTCAGAGCATTTGATATCGGATTTGCTTTTTTTATCAGATTTATGTTTGCTGCTTTTACTTTCTTTTTCTCCTTCCTTTTTTGAATCGCTATGACGAGATTTTTTAGATTTTCTTGACGGAGTCCTAGAACGTGACCTCGACTTTTTTCTAGATTCTTTTTTTGAGTGCTTTGTCTTACTTTCGTAAGAATCAGAAGTTTCTTTCATACTAGATGTCGAGGGTTCTTTATAATCTTTAGACCTCCTCCTTTCCTTACTTCTCGATCTTCTAGACCTCGGAGATCTTGATTTACTCCTTCTGCGATCCCGCGATCGACGTGATCTGGACCTGCCATGTGATTTGGACCTGTGTCGAGATCTGGAACGATGCCTAGATCTTGATCGATGTCTCGAGCTTCTTCTTCTAGATCGCGACCTTCGAGAACGAGAACGTCTTGAACGAGATCTTTTAGATCTGGAATGTCTAGATCTAGATCTTCTTGACCGTGATCTTCTTGATCTTGATCTATGTCTAGACCTCGATCTATGTCGAGATCTTGATCTTTTACCTCCATTAGTAACTGGGTCAATAGCAGCTGAAATTAGTGATTCAGCTTCACTAACTTTTTTCAGCGCCTCTTCTATTTCCTTGCTGGTAGCTGATATGCCAGGAAGTATTGGTGGTTTTACAATTGCAGTATTTGACGGTGTTATCTTCAAAAGTTGTCCAGCTAACGCCTGTCCATTCATTCCAAGAGCCTTCACAACAGAAACTTGATCTGTGAATTCAACGTAAGCACTCTTGATGCTCGCAGTTTCATCTCCAGCCATTCTCATATATTTTATTTCTCCAGCCTGAGTGAAAAACTGCATTAGTGATTCAGGAGAAATAGCACAATCAATTCCACTGACGTATATCGTTCTTCGAATTTCTTCAACTTTTGATAATTCTGTATTTGCTGGCAGGACAGGATATTGTGCCAATCCCTGATACATATTGGACATGTTAGAGCTATCCCCACTACCAAGTCCTAGTGCAGTAATCTCATCCGGTATAACATCCTCAGGAACTGGGACTACGATGAGAGCTTTGTCTACAAAAACTGTGTTTGTTAAATGAAGAGATACTGACACATCCTCCGCTAAGGCAAATTTCACAAAACAGACTTTTGTAGAAACATCTATTGCTTCAATTTCAGGATAAAGTTTGATATCGTCAACTTTTCCAATAAATCCAAATAAAGTTTTCAATTGTTCCTTTGTGACAGCTGGAGAAACATTTGAGACTTGAATTACGTGAGTATCTTCAACTGCCATTTCGTCTTTCCTCTGAAAAATTGAAACAATTTAATTTGATTACAAATTTTGTGTTATAATATATATATATATATATATATATATATATATATATATATATATATATATATATATATATATATATATATATATATGAACATCAATAAAATAGGAATTATCAATTGGTCACTGTCAATTTTACAACTGAATTTGTAAAATGTGCTGACACCAAATCATTAAAACAGTTTTTGTAAATTTTTTTTTTAAATCTTCTGACAAAACTGTAAAAATGGCATGTAGGAAACCATTAGCTTAATCTATTATATAGGACAATTTATGATTGAAATTGTAAAAATGACATGCTTTGTCAAGAAATTATTAAAATTAGTAAAATATTTAAATTTTTTAATTTTTGATTGAAGTTGTAAAAATGGCATGCCAAATGATGTAATACTAAGTTATACATTGTGTATAACTTCTGCAAAAAACAAGAGTTTATTGAAAACAGAATTGTTCAATACAATGCAAGGAAAGGAAACAAAGATGCCAACAAATCTAAATATCTCAAATTGAAAAATGTCTGACAACAATATTGAAAACTTATTAAAACATTCCACGAATGGAATATTCCTGTCCCATTGCATATAGTTTGACTTTGTAATTTACATATTAAAAACCTCTTTCAAATTAGTTTAATAAAGCATAACGTTTATCATTTGGTTAAACTTTGTTTTATTTTGTCTTTCTAAAAATTTATTTTTAGAAAAAACTAACGAATATTCATTTAATTTAATATACGCGTTTTGAAAACTTATTTACAGATAGAACAAACATTTATGTTATTTTTTTTTTAAATTTACCTCAAGTGCTTTGTTGCGCTATTCGTCATGCACAATTTTCAGCGAACCCAATAGAATGAATTTTTTATCAAAAACATATAAATTGGTAATTTTATAATAATGCCAATTATTCAAAGTGTTAAGAATAATTTCTATGGAAGATGGCGAAAATACAACTTATTTTCTAAACTATTCAATTTTGTGTCAAATTGTTTATGCCTTTATTATTTAATTAAGTATTAAACATTCATCTAAGGCTTTTATTTTAAATATTTAAAAATTGTGAACTTTTGTAACTAAACAGTAAATTAACGTTTGGTATACAAATTCATACTCTAACTGCTTATGCAAAAAAGTGTCATTTCATGTCTATCACTGTTAAAATAGTTTGTCAAAATGCTCATGCCCACCAACGGTAAAGATACACAGCAGTATACTTTCAAGCTTAGCATGCATAAGGCATTGGAGTATACTTTCCTGCCTACCATGCATAGCCATTACAGCAGTTACAGCATTAAAAATGAATGTCTTTTTAAAAACATTTCCATCGTAAATATGCTATTCTATTTCAATTTATTTCATTTTGATAAGTATTACAATTTAAATTAAGTGTTTATATTCCAAGTATATAAGATTAACATTAACAGTTAATAAGTTTAATTAACATTAAGATTAACTGATTAACATTCTAATTTTTATTATTGTTAATCTAAATTCTTTTTTAACTTGAAAGCTTAATTCTAAATGTTAATTATTTATTTTATTTTATACTCTCACTTTCATGCTTATTCCACAAAATACAAAATAATAGTCTATAAAAGGCATATAAGGTATTATATTATAAATTATTATACTATGTGTAGTGTATACTTGTATGTCAGACTTGTATACTTTTGCCACAAGTAACAAAAGACAGTCACTTAACTTAGTCTTACTAATTAAAAACGATAAATCTATAGGGCGTGCGGGCCGCACGCAGACCATGAACTTGTTAGACTGCTAAGGCGTGTGTACAAAAGAATATGTTAAAAATATTTTTTTATGCCGAACATTATTTTAAAAAGTATTTGTAAAAATTTCCGTTACTTACAATTGAAAATAAATTAATAAATAAATTTAAAAAAAAATTTTTTTAGATAAATTTTTATTTGCGCGTCGTAATACTATTATTTATTATCTTTGACAAGAGTTCATTTTCCTTTTTCCTTCAGTTGTGAGCGGTGAGGCTTTTGGAGATTCGCTTGATTTTTGTTGTGTTTGATCTAATTTAATTAAATAAAATTAAATTTGTTATTTTATTATTCTAATTTGAGAAAATGAGCTCCGAGTCATTAAAGTTAGGAGAGAAATAGATTTGTGAATGTTGAAAAAGCCGTTGATGTGGTAAAAAGTTTTTTTAAGAAAACTACCATCCAATGAATGAAGCGTGACACCAAAGAAATAGTAACAAAAAATTTTAACAAAAAATTATTCTGGAAAGAGCCAAAATTGTTCATCTTTTCCCAGATACGCAATACAGTCAGAGGTTGTTTTTATATTGATAAAATATTTTCAAGCCTTAAGTTCAATTATTATGAATATTTTAAATTTTTATACAATATTAATTTTTGTATATTTGATAATGGTTATTGCATTAGGTGGGTCTGTAAGCACTATGGAAATGTTAAACCATCTGCAAATTTGAAAAAAACTTGGACACGACCTAACCATGCATCCTTGTTGTGTGGTTGCACTGCAGCAGTTTATGTGGCATACTGCAAAAATTGGAAGGTAGTAATAAAAATTAAATTAAAATATTTAATAGCCAATCTCAAAACAACAAAACTCATTCTATGAAGAAATCTTCACCAATCTAATCCTACATGCATGCATCCAAAACCATAACGACATCCTACAAGCATACATAATCAACAAACCATTACACCGCATACTATTCAAACACTAAATACACAAACATACAGACACACACCCCCATACTCGCACACTCAACAGCTTGATAAGAATTGTTGATAACCAGTAATAAACACAGGATAATAATCTCCATTCATCGAGAACCATCGAAACAAGACAAAGCAACAAGACAACTAGCATTCAACAAACTACGACAACTACAAACCATATGGCACCAATTATTTCTACATCAACTCGGAAGCATTATGATGTACTCAATCGTATTAACTATATTTTTACTCTTTAACACATGAACAAATGTACATGTGTGCATTACTGTGTAAATATATGTGTTCGTCTGTGTGTCTTATGTTACTATATGACACTGGATACAATAAATTTGTTATTTTCAAAATTGTCATTCTGTAACAAAAATGCTTTATATTGTTGTCTTAATAAACGTCCAATTTTGCGCTTTGACTTTGTTCTGTATCGTCAAATTTGTTGTACAGATTTCTCAACGTCGAATTCGTTGTACGAATCTCACGCTTTTCACCGTCTAAACATTGTATTCGCCCACTCGTGATTCGCACACCTTGTAACATTTCGATGTGCAGGTTCCTCACGATGTATGATTTTGAACGTCGTATTCGCCCGTTCGTGATTCGCACGCGTTATAGCATCTCAAAGTCGAATTTGATGTGCAGGTTTCTCAAGATTCATAATTTCAAACGTGTTCACCCGTTCGTGATTTGCACGCCTTGTAGCATCTCAACATCGAATTCGATGTGCGGGTGCCTCACAATTTATAATTTCAAGCGTCGTATTCACCCCGCCATTCGCACGCCTTATACTATCCTAACGTCTAATTCGCCATGCGGCCTCACGCTTTATAGCATTAACACGTTCAATTCGCCGTGCGGATTCCTCACGCCTTATAGCATCTCAGCGGCGTATTCACCGTGCGATTCCGCACGCCTTATAGCACTGACCAATTAAAAATTATCCTTAACTTAACGTAAGATCTAAAGTACAAAAGTGCATTTTTTATCCAATCGAATTCGCCCGTTCGTGATTCGCACGCGTTATAGCATCTCAAAGTCAAATATTATACAATATTTAACGACCAGAATAGAATTGAAGAATAATTTGGAATAAGTGATATTATTGTTAAATCTAGTGGGACTGTTTAAAATACAATAAAAAAAATAAATTCTACTATAAATCAACTAACCCGAATTGAAAATAAAACTCAAAAATCCACTGAGCCGACAAATATGTCGAAAAATCAAAAACAAGAACGACACGATCAGGAAAATTTCAATAACATTCAACCAACCGAACGACAACAAAGTTATATAAATCCAGCCAGAGTTGCATAGACCCATGGATATATATAAAATTATATCATTGCATAGACAATATAAATAAAATAAAATATATAGGTTTTTGCGCTGTAAAATATTTTTCCGTGTGTTGTAAGGGTAAAACAGCATAACTTCTAAAACATCCATTTATTATTTACACAAATAAATTAAAAAATTAGTCATTACATTTATCTCCAGACACAACATTGCACTTCGTGCACATATGGAATATACATTTAGTGAAATCACCATTATATGACATTGAGCAGCCGTAAAAATTAAAATTCAGAACTATTATTTTGAATGGCATAGATTAACAATCGTTTAAATTTTAGTTTTATATATGTTGTATAAAATATATAGTCAAAGATTATAAAGTTATTACGGACAGGACCGGGGCACAAACCCAAATTGGGGCCCCGTTTCCAAAAAACTCTCGATCCGTTGTAGTTCAGTGTATAAATTGTTGTTCAGATCATTATGATAAGCCTTTTTTAAACTTTCACAACCTTGTGATGTTTGTGGTACATCGTACATCGAACAAACAAGAAAATCTATCAACTATATCATTATATACCTCTCCTCGTCTACTCATCTCTGTCTCAAGTTTGTCAACAATGATGTAGAAAGCAGACATACGAAATGTGTTTCTGGAATTCAGAGATACCTCAGGAACATTTCCTTCAAAAATCGATGTTTTTCGTTTACGATTACAAGTCATAATTCCACACTTGGTGTTATTTTTTTGCGGCTTTTTCAAATTTATTTCTGGATTCATGCAAGTGATTTGCTAGTGCCGAATATAAATCAGCAAGCACACGTTTTCAAGTTTATGTGCTCATTTTGTAGAGTTTGATTGATCTGTGAAATGTCGTAAAATTTTTCCCCAAAAAACTAGCATGAAACAAATTCTAATTCTTGCATTTTCTTTACAATGTTTTCCGTCTCTCTTCTTGTGTCCCCCTTCTGCAACTGGTCTTTTTATATGCATTCTAACGCTTCCATAATCTGACAATAAGATCTGAGAATAGCTTCAGTTGCAACAGCATTTGCAACATCTGGTGCCAGAAAGGGATTTTATCGGTGTTTTATTACCAAAGACATCCTTTTAGAATCTTCCATCGGTTGGTTGAAGCTGAAAAAAAAATAAATCAATTGCACTGTATAGAAAAAGTTTACTGCTTTTAAACAAGAGTCAATGGCACTTCTGTCTATCGGATTTAGTGAATGAACAGCACAGGGCATGTATATAGCAAACTCATTTCTTTGGAAAGTTTTTTTTTTTGCATGCATTGCAACATCTGTTAAATTTAGAGTCAAATATATTTTAAACATACCAACATTCTTTCTTTTTAAAGTCATCGTAAATTAATAATATTAATTTATCATCATATTGCTAAACCTGTGATAATGTTCCATAAAGTTTTTACTTTGTTTCTATTTACAATCCGTTCACAAACCAACTACAATTTACAAAATAAACAAACAATGGGAGTGTAAAGTGACGAACTTTTAATTTAATATCGCCTCTTCTGTTTCTGTTTCAGTTGTGCTGTCCGCATTTTTCAACATAAAAGCGTTTTTATTCACCAAAATGGCAGTTTTTCTAAAAAATACTGAATCATACAGTCCTGCCAAAGCAATAAAAATAATAAGAAATGAAATGGCAGAAGACCACACTGTTATAATTTTATTTTTAACTTTATTTTAAATTTTAAATAATATAAAAAAAATGATAATCCTAATTTTTATGTCAAACTTATATTAATAATATTAATTTTTTAATAGGTGTACATCATAGAAATTAATTTAGGACCATTTAAATGGAATGTCTGTAAAAGATATAATGAATTTTATGAATTAAATGAAAAGGTTGTTTTTTAGTAATTTTATTATTATAAATTAATTAATTTTATTATGTTCTACAGTTCTACTGACTCGACTTTTATTAATCAATCAATCAACTACTACTAAGTTCATTCTAATCACTAATCTAATGATTTAATCATGTCATAAACCAACAAATATCTTCATGTGCTGTATTACCAGCATATTATAAAATACATGCTGTTAATTAAAAATTCTAAAGTCAAAAATTCAAATTAAATAAAAATATATTATATTTCAATTCTGTAATTGATTGACATTAAGTTAAGGAATCAAGTTGAGCTTAGAGGAGTCATTGGTTTTTCTGAAAATAAAACTGGTTTTGTCTATTTTCACCACTTATTCTGGTTATGAAAAAAGATTAGAAATGTTGTTGAAGAATGGATGGAATTTTCAAAAAAGTTGTTATGCATGTACAAATAAGTTTTTAGATATTAATCTAAATAAATTAGATACATTTTGAATTAAGCAGAAAGCAAAGTTTAAAGGATGAAAAACTAGGTGAAGAGATTTTAGACATGTTACAAAAGTATTAAAAGTGGGTGTAAAAAAATTTTATGGAGTGTTTTTATTTAACAGTACAGCAATTTAAGCTAAGTTGAGGTTTTGAGATTTCTGGTTTTTAGATCTGGTATATTTGATAGAATGTTTCATCTACTAACTTACTCGTGTTAAATTATTGTTTAATTGTTTAATTAATTAATTGTATTAGTTTTTTAAGTGATCTCTTAATTAATACATTTGTTTTAGTTAATCATTTCAGCATGTAGCATAACATGCAAGTGGACCAACAACTTGAGTAATAGATTTTATTTTAAATTAAGTCACTTATCACATAGAAATATATTTATTTATATATATAATTTATAACTTTGCAATAGAGCTTAGTTTTTACGAATAAAAATGTTTCATTGTAACTTTAAGTTAAGGTGGCCTTTTTTATATCCACATCCAGATGTTTACTTTATTTTGACTTGGGAATTAATGTTTCTAAAAACATTCCTGTCATGAGTTAGGTTTGATTAGCTACAATATGAAGGCTTATTTGTTTGGAGCATTAGAAAATGTTTACAACTGTTACAAATTAAACTGCCTCCTTCCAATATTTATTTCATTTTTCTTCAGACAACTTTGACAGGGAGAGGGGAAAAATTTTGAAAATGTTCAAATTTTGGGGGGAGCTAAAATTTTTACGGGGGAATGCTAAAATTTGTGGTAGTGTGGCTAATCATTTGTTTTCTTTATTATGTCCAATATTAGGTTGATTTTCTAACTAAAACGGTCCTTTTTCTGACTTATCAAATAACTGCTCCCAACTACCACTGCAGATCATAAAAATATATCTTTTTAACTTGTCTGAATAAGTTATGTTAATGAATAAGTAAAGTAATGCTGGATAATTATTTTATTTTTGTAACCTGACCACATTTTATATATTTCAAAAACTTTTTGTCTGCATGTCTCATAGTTTGAAGTTGAGGCATGCCAAAGCCTCGTCATGATATAAATAATAATTCCCAACGATTTAAGAATATTTTCATATCAACATTCTTGTTATTAATGAAATTTGTCAATAAAATTTGATAGCTTTTAGGCCAAATACCATCTTTGGATAGAGATTTATTACCTAAGAAGAAAATATTTGGTAACAATTCTGAATCGTTTGTCAAAAAACGACAGCATCAATTGGAAATCTACCTGCAAAGTTTATTCAGAAGTTTTGAAACATTACCTGCTGTTTTGCTTAAATTTTTAGAGTTTCATAAATATGTTAGTTGCGCTAATTAATCTACATGATTTGTAAAGTTTTTGAATGTTTAATTTTTTAAATCAAGGAAATTCATGGCATAGTTGAGGTTTTGTCTGAAGATTTTTATGAAAAAGGTAAACTTGTTTTGTTTTCAAAGTGAGGACCTCTCAACATTCATTCGTGAAATTTTTTTCAGGGGATCAAATGTTGTCATCAAATAATTTTTCCACACTGACAACGTTGCAGTTGAATGCATTGTGCACCAGGCTGCAACTACCTGAGCCAACATGCGGTTTCAATTTATTTGCACCTTTTATATTTGTTAACATTCTGTGTCAAAAAGTGGACAGATGATTGTTCTCATTTTAAAATGATAACATCTTTTAATACGCAACTTTGGGGATCTTCTAATTAGTTAAGTTTCATATTAGGGATATGATGAAATTGTTTTTGACATTAACAATTCAATTTTATTTTTATTCTTGATTCAAAATAATTATTCAATAATAATTTTAGGGTCTATTTTGGCTTTTTACATATTGATGACCAACAAATTATGGAATTCATTTGTTTCATCATTTAATGTCTGCTATCATATTTTATAGAAGAGATTTATCAAACGTTTTGTACGATGATTGTTAAAACAACATCAATTTGTGTTTGCATAACTAATCTTTACCCTTAAACTAGTTCTAAAATCATTTTTTTTGTTCATTTTTCACTTTTGAAACTTTTGATTCAGGTTCTTATAATATGAAGAGAGACTTGGGTCATTTGTTGGATTTTGTGACAAGAGTCAAATTTCTGCAGGTTGTTTCATTTATTGATGATTCTTTTTTTTAATGTTTTTTAAAACATTCGTGTTAGACATGCACCAATGACTATCAATCAATCAATCAATCTTCGTTTTGCGTCCAGAGACCCGGTTACCCGAGGTAGGACTTTTAGACCAGTAGAATTTTTATCTTTTGGTTTCTGGTAGTCAAGTTGCTTGACTTTTATCACGAAAATGTACAATACAGTCATGGAATTTGTTTAAAGTTTAGGAAACGAGATTTTCAATTCAGATAAACTCAACTATTTGTATATTGTTGGTTGCTCGCTTAGAAGCAGCCATTTTGTCTCTCTGGTTATTACATCCTGAAACCTTACTTGAAAACTTGCGTTGTTTAGATTTGTGCTGCATCTTTTCAGCTATTTGTATTGATGGTTTAGTTTAATTATTTTGGTTGGATTTTTAGGTCATCACATCTTTATTTTTAATTGCCTTAGAAATAAGGAATTTCTTTTCCTAGAGGAACGGAAGGATAGTTTTTTCTGGTAAGCTACTGATCTAATGAAATCTATTTTTTATTTTAGTTCAAGTCAGTTACATAATGAATCGGTGTTAACAATTGGTTACAATTGGTTTGAGTCTATTTGACATTTTAAAAATCTCTGAATGGTTTGATCTTCAGTTCTTGTCTGATATTTGGTGTACACACAATGCACTAGTTAGCTTGCAGTTGAAACATCTTATTTCAGCTCAGATGTTTTAAATGATTCAGATATAATTATTTTTACTTTATAAATAAAATAATCAAAATCATTGATCAGGTGTTAGGACACTCCCTCCCATTCGGCACGAGCAACATTATCCCAAATGAATTAAGCTACCACTTCCAACACTTCAAATCACTCGAATCTTTGAAGGTAGGTACTCTTTTTTAATATTAAAACCAAGTTTGATCAATTTCATTATTTCAAAACTTTACAAATTGGACAGTCTCTTTTTGTTGAAGTTCGAAAACTCTTGTTTACTGCCTTTACTCTGTATAACAATTTTTAAGTTTTTTTCGTAATTCACCACATTCACCACACATCCTTCTACATAGCATGGGTGCTGCAAATAACAACAATGTAGCGGCATTTTTTCCCATTGTGTGTTACTCAGTGGTATCAGCTAGGACATACACAGTGGTTACGCGGATGGACCTGAACCCACCCACCTACTTTATCAATCAATCTTCGTTTAGCGTCCAGAGACCAAGTTTCCCGAGGTAGGACGTTGTTTTCCTTGCCATCAACTTTTTGCGCCAAATTAGACGATCAGTTGTATCCATTTCATTAAAATTTAGAGCTTTCATGTCTTGCTCGATTGTTGGCGACCAGGACTTCTTTGAACGGCCTTTGGGACGTGTGCCAGGTACTTCAACATCTGTAAGAAAAGTTATGGCACTGTTTCTACTTCGTTTGACATGACCAAACCACCGCAGACGGTGTTGTCGGCATTCGTCCTTTATATCATCTAAACCAGCACGACGCAGGATTTCGGTAGATTTGATGTGGTCCTTCAGACTAATTCGTTGCATCCATCGGAGCATTTTCATGTCGGTTCGTTGAAGTTGTTGTTCCAGTTTGGTTGTCATTGGCCATGTTTCTGCACCATATAACAACACCGGACGTATCACAGATTTATAAAGTCTTGATCGTAATGGTAGTGGGATGTCACGCCGCATCAATATAGAGGCAAGGAGATACCATTTATTCCAGGCTGCACGTATGCGTGCTCGAACGGCAGCTTCAGCTGTTCCAGTACAATCCAGAACATCCCCTAGATATTGAAATGATTTGACTTTCTCTACCTTAATGGCTTCAAGAACAGAGCTATTTCGAATTTGTTGTTGTGGATTGATGCAAGCAGGACAAACAAAATTGGACACTTTAGATAAAGTACCAATTATTTTTGAACAACGTTTGTGACACCACTGGTTACACTGCTGACATTTGGTTGAATTGTTACCTACACCAGCTTTACAAACTGAACAGGGCCATCGTCCAGAAGCTATGGATTGGATGGGTTCACCAGTGTTCATTGCTTTGGTTTTGCTGATGTTGACTTTGAATCCATGATCGGCGAGTCTGGTGTTCCAATCTTCAAACATCTGTGCTGCATTCTGCTCAGACGTGGCTGTTAAAACGATATCATCAGCATATACTAGATTCCAAATGTCACCAGTGCGTATCGGTTTTGTAATTTCTTCCATCACAGTTATAAATAACAGTGAACTGAGAATCGAGCCTTGGTGAACTCCAACGCCGATGTCAAATACATCTGTGTTTCCAACCGTTGTGCTGACGAGAGTTCTTTTTCATTTTACAGCACCCACCTACTTTATGCGTACAGAAAGACATTTTTAACATTTGAAATCTGACACTGCATACTGCATATCCCAACCTGAATTTGACCATTAGATCGTCTCATGTGGTCTTTAATAAAGGCATTATTTTTTCAAACGAATGCTTTTTCAGAAAAATTTTTTGTTTAAACTTATCAAAAACGGGCAAAAGTGGAAACCAGTGGTTCGTAGGTGGTCATCAAACAGCCCAACCTGCACCATTGAGAAGCTATTTAGTGTTATATCTCAAAACTTTGGAGTACCATGATGCTGTGCCGGTTATGATATTGGTATACGTCATATCATATTTGCAAACATATCATCTTATCTCCGATTTTTTGATGACGTCATTTAGAGTCTTATTTTACATAATTTATTCCATCATTAAGTAACAATTCAGCTATACTTAAATAATTTTCCAAGGGGTTTTCTTTGATTATTTGTACCAACCTGCAAACTGATCTTTTTCTTATACTCTACACTTTTTTGTCGTTTGTTTATTTTGATCACACGACCTGCCTTTCATCTGCCCGGTTCATTCTTGATTCTTTCTCATTCTTTTACATTCATTTTCATTTTTTTGCAAGATCTATGATATTCTTGCACTGTCCTTCTTCCAACTCATTCATTCGTTTCATGATCTTTGTATGAAACCTTCAACAGTTTTTTTCTTCTCATTTACTCTGCTATGCTCCAATACTAGCTCGACTTTCTGGAGTATGTACTGTCTTCAAAAACAATTTTGGATCTTACCTATTCTATTTTGTTCGCACTATTCCTCTTCTGGTTGACACTCGGTTTCCAACTTACTTTCTAGCTAAGTGAAACTAAGCTTCATGACATGCGTATGTATATGTATGAATGTGTTTTTATATATGTTTGAAACGAAGTTCTGATTGACGTAAAGTCGTCAGATTATATTTCTATCGGTTGCAGTACCACATGTAGCACCACTACAGTTGCGTTCCTGCCACGTGATGGACATTTGCGTTGATTGCTGCGTTTTCCTGTTAAACTAATATAATGAAATTCATTATGGAATGTTTCTTTTTCGTAAAGTTTTCCAACTGTAGAATGGAGCGTGTGAAAATTGAGGACAACGTGAAGAAACATCTGAAGCAGTTATATGTTTGCAAAACTCTTTCAGCCCTAAAAGTGAGATTGTTGTAAAAATGTAGCTAATAAAATATTATTTACATACTTTAATTTCTTTTATATAAAATGTATAGAATTATATGTAATTCAATTAAGATTTTAAACAACATGTTGAATATTGTTGAAGATTTTAAACAACATGTTGAATATTGTTGAAGATTTTAAACAACATGTTGAATATTGTTGAAGATTTTAAACAACATGTTGAATATTGTTGGAGATTTTGAACAACATGTTGAATATTGTTGAAGATTTTAAACAACATGTTGAATTTTATTGACTGTTATCGACCAACCGGCTTTTTACTGATTGAATCTTTCTATAAACTGTGTTTTTCTTCTTACCAACTCTTGTTATTCAACTCTGATCTGATCATTTCGATTTTTTAAAGCGCCTTTTAAAAAAGTTCTCAAAGGCGACTATATATTTATCGTACAACGCCAAGTGTTTTCATGTTTAAATATGTTCAATTAATTTGTTTTAATAAATTAGAATGCGTTACTTTTTGCAATTGTAGGTTTCGGATTTAGAAATTATTCATTCTCTAATTGTTTTCCATCTCTCTTCATAAGTATGTCTGACATTTTGTACCCCAGCTTTTATTCAAATGTTTTGAAACACCTAATCTATTATTTGTGGCTTGTTCTCTACTCAATTACTCTAATTGAAATTAGTATTATTATTATTATTTCTATTATTATTTTGGATCGTTATTGCGTTTTCATAAAAAAACTTTTTTCATCAAAAATCATTTTCTAATTATTACGACGACTTGACAGGAGATCCTGATGAGCGGCGTGCACTGGACGGAGGACTGCAGCGAAATGCCCACTCAATTGCTCGATGCATGTTCCTGGCCGAACGTCACGCTCGCCAATTTCAACGACAACAAAATCGAATGCATTGACGACTCAATAGTTGGTTGACACTCTTTTGTTTCTGTAATCAGTGATTGCATTAAATATTTCTCAAAATTATAAAACTTAAAAAAAAACAAATTCGAAATAGCAATGTTTTTGAAGCCATTAAGGTAGAGAAAGTCACATCGTTTCAATATCTAGGGGATGTTCTGGATTGTACTGGAACAGCTGAAGCTGCCGTTCGAGCACGCATACGGGCAGCCTGGAATAAATGGTATCTCCTTGCCTCTATATTGATGCGGCGTGACATCCCGCTATCACTACGATCAAGACTTTATAAATCTGTGATACGTCCGGTGTTGTTATATGGTGCAGAAACATGGCCAATGACAACCAAACTGGAATAACAACTTCAACGAACCGACATGAAAATGCTCCGATGGATGCAACGAATTAGTCTGAAGGACCACATCAAATCTACCGAAATCCTGCGTCGTGCTGGTTTATATGATATAAAGGACGAATGCCGGCAACACCGTCTGCGGTGGTTTGGTCATGTCAAACGAAATAGAAACAGTGCCATAACTTTTCTTGCAGATGTTGAAGTACCTGGCATACGTCCCAAAGGCCGTTCAAAGAAGTCCTGGTCGCAAACAATCGAGCAAGACATGAAAGCTCTAAACTTAAATGAAAGCGATACAACTGATCGTCTAATTTGGTGCAAAAAGTTGATGGCAAAGAAAACAACGTCCTACCTCGGGGAACCGGGTATCTGGACGCAAACCGAAGATTGATTGATTGAAAATTATAAAACTTTTCAACCGTTCTTCATCTTATGATCGATTTTTTTTATAAACAATAAATTTGTTTTACTCTTGAATTATAAGCATTTACTATATTGATTAAACAAAATATTTGTTTTTAAAAGTTTTTTATATGGGTATTTATGTAGAGTATTCTCATAAGAATTTAGGGGCATAAAAGCAATTTGTAAAATATTTGTTGATAACTCAATACAAATTTACATTACAATACAATTACGGCTTTTTGAAGGACTGTAAACCAGTGATGGAACCGCTCCTCAGTTGGAGGATTACAAGTGGCATTCAACAAGCGAAACTTATTTTGCACTGATGGCGATTCATTTTGTAATTCATTCCATTAATCATTACGCTCGATCCGTGATGTTGAACAGCCAACAAATCGTAAAACAGACCATGTTCATATTTACATTACAATATATTAAACTGGAGGATGACTTTTAATAATACAAGTTTTTCGTGTTGACCTCTGAAAACGTGAACGACGAGCAAAAGACATACAAGATTTTATGACATGTCCGGTTTAAAACTAATTTCATGCACTGTCTCCATCGATTTTGGTCAGTTGCTACAAAAAATTAAAGAAATAGTGCAACAATGATTTGTGACGAATTCTGACGAGCACAATAGAATCCACTTATGTAATCCGAGAGATGTCAGACTGAAAGGACATTTATCAGTAAAATCCTAAAAGAAGATTTCATGTAGATTTTTGTCTTTTTAATCCAGTTGATGTTAAAAATGTTATAAGCCGTTTATCAATTTTTAAGAATCAAATGGTTTCTAGTTGAATTAAGATTTCTTTGCCAACTTTTATCATGATTTGCAGTGGAAAAAACGAAGGTCTAAACGCCACTTTCAGTTCAACTGAAGAACGGCTCCATTCATGGTTCCATCGCTGATTTGCAATCCTTCAAAAATCGTATATTTTTATTAAATTATTGATTCATCTTATTTAGTTATCTAGTCGTTCATTTAGTCAATTAATTCACTGACAAACCTATAAACCATGTAATAACTTACTCGTCAAAAGAGGAAATGAATGATAAAAAGAAATGTCTAATAAAATGAATTATAATCAAATGATGCATTTAAAATGTACGGTCCTCTCACGCTCGTTGGCAATGCTCGTCCATCGGAGTAGGAATTATATATAACTGGCATTATGCATTGTTTCTGTCGCAATAAATAAATAAATAATAACGACAGTAATAATAAAAGGACATTTTTGTGAAATTGCAATGGCGGTTTATTTTTGTAGTTTTCATTAATGGAAGATAATTTTTTCAGATTAATAATGATTTTACTAATCAGAGTAAAAATTATTTGTAGAAATTGTTGCCTCATCTTGAACAACTATCCCTCGTCCGTAACAAACTCCAAGAAATTGAGCATCTCTATCACCTGTCGTTCCTTCGGTCGATAGATCTTTCATCAAACTACATATCCAATCTCGAATCTTTGCACATCAAGTTAGGAAACGTCACCTGCTTGAATCTATCCAGAAATCGCATATCCACGCTCTCAGGTTCATGAATAATTTTTGCATTCGTCTGAAATTTTGCTTTTCATAAGAATTATTTATTGATTCTTGTATTAAATTTTTAAATCACAGTCAAACATCAAAGCCAGAAATTGTAAATAACGAGAACAAATCGGTGAAATGAAAATAGTATAAAAACAAGTAGGCGCACGCACACACATAATCATCATATGCGCCTGTTTACACGAACACACACATTGTGTCACTAAATAATATAATTTGACGTTTTAAGCAAGATAAAACTAGATGTCAATGACGTAGCAACTTGTGGTGAATTAATAGAACACTCTTCATATTCTTCTGCTCATTCATTGAAGACAGAGAACTGATAATTTAGCGATATCTTATTAGTTTTAATTCAACGAAGTTTGTCCGATCTCATGCAAGTTGTGGACAGCATTGTTTATTTGGACCACTTCATAAGAGAAACCGTTTTATAGTGCCGTTTGATGAGTTCGGGGATAAGAGCGTCGTACCCTGTAATTTTTTATTCATCTTGTTCCTAAAGGAACAAGATTAAAAGGATTAATTCTAAAGATTACTATTTCTGAAAGTAAGAAGTGAAAATTCAGATACACATTTTTGATCTGAGCGCAGACTTGGAAGCAATTACATCATTACGCTGTATTTTTACGCTCTAAACGAGCGATTTCAATTGGCATGAGTGAATCTCAATAGCATGAATTTATTAATTTATATTTTTAAATTTAAAGAAAAATTTAATTTTTTTTAATTTTTTGTAACTTAAATTTATAATAGTTTTACGTTTGTTATCTCTATATTTTTGCAAATAGGTTTTCAGAAAATGTATTCCTTGCAGAAATTGAACCTAAGCTACAACAGTTTGCTGCAAAAGGAAGAGATCTACCACCTCCGCCAGCTGCCCAACTTGGAATATCTCGACACCCGCAAAAATCCCATGGCGAAAAGTGAAGGCTATCGCGTTGATGTCTACGAGATGTTTGGAGAAAGGGCGCAAGATGTATTTTTATTTTTCTATTTTTTAGTTTTCAGTTTTTACTTATTAATCGTTGCAATTTTCAGATAATTCTCGACAAAAAAGCAATAAGTTCCAGGGAATTGAACTTGGTTTTGGTGAGGTTGGCGTTGAGCAAATCGAAAGCTGGCAGGCCGCCTGACTCGTTGACGTCGTCATCAGACTCGAGATCTGAAAGTAAGGTTAGGAGGAATCAGCACTTCTTCTCTTCGTTCCATTTGGCTCATTTTACATTTAAAAGAATAATCTTTCTATTTTATTTGGCATTCAATTTAATTTTTATTCACGCATTTTGTGTTTAGAATAAACTTCATATGAATTTAGTATGAATTTTGATCACTCATATTTTAGAGAAATTTTTAGATGCACTGAGCTCAATTATGCGAGTGCATAATCTTATTAATATTAACAAATCCTCATTTCTTCGCTAATCAAGGTTAATTAGCTGTAGTGCGAAGCTTATAAAAATCATTCCATGAAATGAATACATCTCTTTAAATATTAAGCCAGTAACAGAAGAACATTCGACAGTGAGCCGAAGTAAGATGCAGTCGATTGATTCAACGCCAATGTCACAAAAGTCATCGTCGGCTCCGTCGGATTCATCGGAACCAGCCGCAATCATGTCCACCTCTCAAATGTTTGTATGGTGAACTTGTACGATTTAAATTATTCTAAATTATAAAAGGATTTGCATTTAACAATGAACTAACGAATGAATGAACTAACAAATAATAATTAAACAGATTATTGCCAGGAGTTGAAGTTACAAAGACAGCAGCACCCACGGAAAATACAAATAAATCGAATCCTAACCTAAGTTTCATGCAAAATTTAAAACAGTCAACCAAGGTAATTAAAATATTTTTATTAATTTTTTTTATTTCACTAAAATTATGTTTATTTTTGGTTGAAATATTTGTCATGCTATTAAAGTTGTGAAACTGTTGAGAACTGTCTCGTCGTGATAATAAATAATTGGGAAGTCTATTCAGCAATTTGTTTGGCTGCAGAAGAACAAAACTTTCATTTCGTTAGATATTTGTAAATGAAAATATTTCACTATAAGGCATACCTAATCACAGAATTGTAGGCGCTTAATGGAAGGATATATTCCGCTGCTCCTTAGTCCAACAGGTCGAACGATAACATGGCATGGACGAATATGTTTTGTTATCAAGTCTTTAAAAACCTGACTATTTTCTTTATGCGAATGTTTCATTTTCCCCAACTTTTGATGAATTTGAGCTGTTTTATTGTATAAATTACTTTTGTTTTATAATCTGATCAATTTTTTTCATAATAATTTTTTAATTTGCATATTTACTTACTTATTTATGAATTAATTTCTTTTATTCATTTATTATTTTCTCACCTGCTTTCTTTCAAACTCAATAATCCATTATTTTATTTTTCATTATATTTTAATATTAAATGTATAATAGACGGACAAAAATTAGACGAATGGCAGACGATCATTGACTATAAATATATTTTAGATGCCTTCAATGAAGGTTTTTCATTTTACTCTACTTATTTTCTTCATTTTGTAATCTTGTCTATTTGCATATTTTAACAAATTCTGCGTCTGTCAGAGTCTGATTTTTAAAAAATAAAGTTGACGAAAGTTGCGGTAGTTTTGATTGGCAGGAGTAAATAGTGGATGACTCTATGTTGTTTCTATTTTCTCAAATAATTTGGAATGGAGTGCGTTGAATATATGAGTGAGGGTAGGATATGATAAAAGTAGGTAGTTGAGGCGAATTAACTTGTTGATGAGAGATTGTAGTTGTTGGATTTGTTGTTGTTGTATGGGGAAGCCAGACCAAAAAAAAGCAGCGTACTTGAAGCGTGAGATGATGAGTGATTATTTGATGCCGAATAATTTGGAACCTTTCAAATCAAGTGTTGCGTGAAATGTTTGAAGACCTTTTGTGATGATGTGGTTGATATGAGCTGCTACCTTAAGTGTGGTAGTAAATGTGATGCCTAATATTTTTAATTGCTAGTGATTGATGGATGCCATCCCATAGTTTTCAAATATCTTGATACGCTGTCAACACTAGAACAAATGATTTTTTAAAGCTTCTTTCAATCCAATGACAAATGTAGCAAACGACAACTGTCTGTCTAACAGTGGTTGTTATAATTTTTATAACACTTTTATTTCTTGCCAGAAGTTTAGATTTTGACATTTTTTTCTAATTTTAAAATATAAAGATGACCATTTGAAAAGTGAAATGTTTTGATAGCCTCAATAGATGATTTTATTATAAACGTATAAAAATGAGCCTTCTTGATCTATTTTTTTTATCTCAGAGCCGCATCAAGTGCACGACAGCCAGCACGTTGTTTTCATTTCCAACTGGTCACCAGCACCCGTCCAACACTCTTTTGCTCGGGTTTGTTCCCTTTACTTCCGGCAACTATTTATTTATTTATTACAGACTTTGTTTCTTTTTAATTATATCATTGTCTTTTGTTTGTTTCTCTTTAATTATTAGAGTCATTTGATTATGCAATTAGTTTTAAGTTTTTGGGTAGAAAGCTAGGACCATATGAACATCTTTTAGAACATTTCGTTTTATTAAAAGTGCACGCTAGGCTAGACTCAATTGGTTCTACTTAAATTATTTTGTTTGTTTCCTTTCAATGTATTTTTTTGGTGTATGTTTGGGAGCAGTTGTGGAGGAATTTATTTAAATTTTTTCGATGCCATTTACATGTAATGTAAGCAGTAAACTTAATCCGTGTTTTACTAAAAAAAAATTAAAATGTTTACTGAAAGTAATTTAAATCAAATGTTTTTAAAGGTATTTTTTCAAATTTCAGGAAAAAAAATGTGACTAAATCTCAGAAAAATTTTTTTCTGCTGCCTGATACATTGCCTGGACACAACAACAAAGCATTAATCACTGAAATTGAATCAATATTGAATGCTGCCATTCAACGTGGTACATGCAATGTTGATCCCAAAAAGGAATCTCCGGTTCACGTAATGTGGTGTAGTGCTTATTTCAATTTAGCTCCAAAATTCTTGGTGATTGAATCTGATCGTCCCTGTTGTGTGTACATTACGCCGTACAACATCCATTTATTGGAAGTGGAGAAGTTGAATGGAGACGCCAGCATACCACTCATGCAATATTTCGCTTCTATTTCTTTTTCAGACATCCTCTGCATTCTTGTTGGCTATCGTTCCATGTACATGAGGTTAATTTTAAACCGCGTTGAGACCCACATCGACGTTGTATTCTTAACATTCAGCTCGTCTAAAACGGACATGTTCTTGTCTCAGTTGAAACGAGCCTACAGAAGAAGTGTTCCAAATTTAGACGAATATGAAGATCCTCTTGTTTATTATCATTCAAAGGAATTGGAACATAAAATTTATAAAATTCTGCAGCCTTATGAAATGAATCTGAACGTTGTTTTTGATTCTAATGCAAAAAATAACATCGATATTACGAGTTCTAATAAATCGGATTCGAATAACTCCACAGACGTCTCAATTAATCCTACTCCTATAAAATTGATTCAATTTTACTGCCTTGTGCAACTTATTGTTGCCTACGAAGAACCAGACCAAGGTAAAACAAGTGCCTTAATTGCTACCAATGAAAACCTTTACGTGTGTCATCAAAACTTTACTTGTTTTCCACCTTTTATTTTAGAACCCGAACACAAACTTGTTGATTATACACGTTCTAAGCACTGCATATCAGATAATACCGTCGCTTGCGTTTTTCCAATCAACAGCCGAATCATTAATCTTCAGATGTATGATGCCAACGTTATGGACCTAAACAAAGTTAAAAATAGTAAAAACAAACCATCGTTTGATTTGATTTCTGATAACGGTTTTATTGGTTACGGTTTCAAAATGACCTTCAATTTGGGAATATATGGTGTTCAGACTTTGGATCTAAGATGGCCCTCATCAAACATGAGAGATACATTCCTTTATTGGTTTGCTCAGTTTAGAAATGAAATCAAAGATGTTTCCTCTTCGTCATCATTTCCAATGAGCAGAAAAAAAAAGAAAAAAAAGAAAAAAGTTGCTTCACCTGACTGGGAAAACAGGCATCTTCAATTTGATACGCAACTCAACCAGAATGATACATTTCCTTATGCTTTAACAGTTCAGTCCGATGACGATGTTTTGGATCAGGGCATTTCATTTCGTTCTTTCAGGCATTTGCCGAATGAATCTGAAAAATATTCTGTGCTTGGCACAGGAGGTGTCAATTTTGAAGCGATAAAAAGTAACAAAGACAAGTATGATCTTATTGATCGAAATGTTAACAAATCCACCGTTCCTACAGAGTTTTCTGAAAATTACACTGAGACAAAAGTCTGCTCTGCCATTGAAATGTCGAATGCAACTGGAAGATTAGAGGCAAGCTCTTTGGATTCCGATAAAGTTCATAATTCAAGTATGTTGTCAGAACTTGAAATAAGATCCAATTCAAACGTCGAAATGGAAAATTCAAAACATGTTTTATATTCCAGCAGAATTGAGTTAACTTTGAATGAATTAAAAAAACTAGATGTATTCGAAAAGAATTTAGTTTATGAAAAGATTCCTTCAGAGGTGATTTCAGATGATGCGATGTCAAGAATGAAATGCTGCCTGGCGGATATTAGTAATTTATTCAGTAATTTTGAAATCAGTTTCCCAGATGAAGAATCACTCACTGACTATTATGAACTAAACGTTGCACAGCCTGGCGAAGTAGCTCATTTTTTTTTATTCACGAATGTTATTTTATTCACAAATCCCTCGCAAGAAATTCCTAGCTGCGTTATATTGACAGATCGTTACGTTCACTTTATTTCTAATTCTGGACTTTTATCCTCTCATTTTAAAACTTTTTACTCAGTAAATGAAAAACGCTGCATTTTTTTGGACGGCCGTTCGAAGGAAAAATTAGAAGCAAGTCAACTTGCCGAATTAGAGGTTTACTTAAAAATTGATTTGCAACAATTGGGTGAAGTAAATTTGGGTATGTTTGGAGAATTTTTTCGCCTTTTGGTTCAGAATGATCGAAATTCTATAGCTTGTTGCATAACTCGAGACAATCTATCGACACAAATGTTTCTTAACAAGCTTCTAGAGTGCTTGTCAAAAATACGCCCTGCTTTACCCGTTGAAGTACAGAGTCCGTATGAAATGTACAAGATATCTAAAAAACACCGACTGAATCCGAATAATTACTCGATTTTTCGGCATTCTATGACAGGATCATATGACGATGTTGTTGTTTATTACGACGTTAGTTTTATATATCCGTCTGATGAAACTCTAACTGACATCGCATCCACCATGGATAACAAACTATCATCTGTTCCGCTCGATTGGAAAATATATTTCTATCTAGCTTGCCATTTAATTTCGGTTGAAAACATTACAAATAATTCTGCTCATTTAACTTTACATCCAGTTAACTTGTTGATCACTGAAAACTCTGTCGCCATTCTTGAAGAAGACTACGTTAGTTACCCGTCACCGAGGATCCATAAATTTCCACCTGACAAGCCTCAGTTCATTTCGCTTGCAACATATCCTCTGAGCCAAGTCTTAAAAGTTGCTTCAATCGTCGACAGTCCAAATATTTTACGAATTTTTGTGTCCGACGCAGAGACGACAGATGAGATAAAAGTGGACGTCGATTTGGATCATTTTGCAAGCGTTCCATCCGGGGTGTCTACGCATAAGACGGAGATTGAAATTTTGAAAAATGAAACTTTCTTTACATTCTTTATACACAAACAAAGAGATATCGATTTGTTTCTAAATGTTATTGGCAAAAGATGGACTTTATGCAATAAAAATGAAATTCCTTTTGTTCACACTTCATTAATCAGTTAATTAAATGAAATTGAGCAGTGCGACTGATTCTCGATGTATATATTCAATCTGTTATCACTTAAACTCATTTTTGCAAATTTTACAATCCAGAAATAAATTAAGAAATAATAAATTTTTCAGTTAAATTGAAACATAATGTGCGAAATCGAAGCTGTACCCATGTTTATTTTTGTTATTAGCACTGTCGAACGGATTACATGTTTTCATTTCCCTTCGTTTCATTTATATATAGATTATGATATTAAACAGCATTTTCAATTTTTATTTTATTTAAACAGTTTTCATACGTTTGAAATTTTATGTATTCCACGTTACTTACATTTTGTCCTCGTATCATTAACTTTATGCCATAATTGAGCGCAACTAAGTCTTTGCTTGTTTAAAATGTTTATTCGAATTAGCGCTTTAAAGTAATGGTCTTTTTAATTATATTTTGCGATTTTTTTTAATTTTGTAAACAGTTGGATAATGAAATAATTTTAAACATTCAATTTAGGATTGGTATAAACGGTGAAAATTTTGTAGACGTGTTGTTTTGTGTTCTCTTTTTTTATTGACTTGAAGTTCGCAATTCTCACAGAGATTCTACGCATCATGCCTCTAACCCGTTAGATCTTTATATTAAAAAACGAACAGACAAGTTTATCTCATTGACAAGCGTACATGCATTGTTTGACAACATGCCCTTGCATCTACACTAAATGGATTTTATCGGCAGCTTTTTTATTAAATCTGCGTGAAATAAACGTTACGGTGAGTGAAAATAAATTTAATTTTTGTCATGAGAAGAACAAGTTCATACGATTTGGATTTTCTATTATATATATATATTACATTAATTCAGCTTTTTGTAGCAGTCAGTCTGTTATTCCAAAAAACTTCATTGGCATGTTTATAATAATCGACTACTCTTAAATTCTTGTTCAAAATTTTTTCAAACAAATTTTCAAAATTTGGATTGAGCACAAAATTTGTCGTTTTAAAAGTTGTTACTAAATACTTGTGAATTTTTTTATCAGCGAATTTGTGGCAAAATGGAAGATTCGCCGACGTAGTGCATAAATTAAAGTTCATTAAAATTCATTATTTTGAATGTTTTTGAATTTATTGCACTAAAGTTTACAATAAAAATTGAATGATGAAGATAACATGGGTTCTTCAAAAATATCTGATAAGAACGAGCGTTTTCATCTGGGGATGCCTTCTCCGTACTTTTCATTGAATGTTGTTTATCCACAAAGTAACAATTCACAATTTCACTTATGTAAGGAAATTTTACTATTTTCAACGTTCCATCACCGGCCTTCCTTCTTGTCTTCTGTTCGTCATATGGTTTCCCTCAAAAAATATAGGAAAATAGTTTCGGTCCCAACACAACATTTACAATTTTATTAATTTTATTTTAATTTATTTCACTGATCTTGAACAACAAGTTGAATAAATTATCATTATATCTAATAATTTATGTATTTTACGTGCAATTTTAAAATTTGACTGAATATTAATTTTATTTAGGAAAAAGCAGCCCCCGGTTATTTGGATTTTTATATAGCGCCTGTTGTAATACTAAATATTCATCACAGGTACAAAATTTTAATATCGTAAATAAGTCCTAAAGCTAAAGCAAACGATATAGTTAAAGTTTCACAGTTAAAAAAACATTACTGTAAATTGTCGTAAATAGAGATTATCGCTATAAGAAGCAGTCAATTGAAGCTCCATCATCTATTTCCAGAAAGAGTTTATGGGTTCAAATTGCTTCAGAAGATTGTAGTCTAAGTTGAAGTTCCAATTCCCCATCATTATAATTACAATCATTATTAGTGCAATCGACTTTAATGTTAGGATCGGATATTTCAGGTTTCAAAACATCGAATCGATTTTCTCTGACATGACCAACACTTATTTTTATATATATACATACATGCACACCCACAACACACCACACACCCACCCACACACACACACATGTATGCAAATAATAACATAGAAATATATTATAAGAATCACATGATAACCGCTTTCAAACAGGATGAAAAAATTATGGAAAGAATCATAAAAAATAACGTCCAAGCAATCAGCGAAAACGATATTAAACACGAATATACTACTTCAACCAAAGAACGTCATCTCTTCGATAATGGATTCAAATGTATTATTGGTGAGTGTGGGAACCATAATTCAGGAAATATTGGTATGACGACGACTAAGTTATCGAGAAGACTCACGATGCACGTACAAACTGGCGCTATAAAAAATCACATGAAAGAGAAACACAAAACTAAAATTACAACGCAAATCTAGGACCACAACGTTGAAATCTTACATTACAATAACAACCATTATAATTTACGATTAGCCGAATCAATACTCATAGAACAAAGACATCCGATAATAAATATTCAACAGCGGGCATTTAAGGTTAGGGGTTTTTCATGAAAATTTTTGAAAAATGGCAAAAAATTGATGACAATCCAAATCCAAATCCAAAGTATATATATATATATATATATATATATATATTAATATATATATATATATATATATATATATATGTATATATATATAACAAATATTCAACAACGGGCAATTGGAATTCTTCCTACTAATAAATTTAGAAACAGAAGAATCATCGATAATAAAAACACGTAAAAGTGTCATATTGGACGAAGTTAAAGATTGTAAAACTAATTAAATTAGGGTTGAGTATTCACTTTAAACAAACAAGGAATCAACAAAGTAGAGTAGAGACACAGTATCTATATATTTGAGCATCATGGCACATAAACAACATATCAATTTGAATTTGAACATCGAAGATGGTATAGGAATATATACCATCTTCGTGTATATATGGTATACGAAGATGGTATATATTCGCTGAGTTGTCCGAGTAATTTTTGGTATTCTTATACCATCTTCGGTGTTCAAATTGATATGTGGGTATGTGCCCAGATGCTTATATATATGTATATATAAATATATATATATATATATACATATAACATAGTAATAACATATAATATATATATATATATATATATATATATATATATATGTCGTGTCTCTACTCTCTTTCTCTATCTCCAATATATACGAATGTATGAATATATACACACGTTTTATAAGGTTATATTAAGTTTGTACATAATTATATTCATTATTGCACTAAATATATATTATATATATATATAAATATATATATATATATATACATATACATACATGTGTGTGTGTTTGTGATGAATATGTATATATAGTAATCAATTGTTCACCTGTGCTATCAATACAAGTGAAGTGTATCTACGCCACTCATTGCGATCATCAATTATAATGTTTACGCCAAAAATTCAAATAAAACAATGATATTTCTATGTTTTTAAATTAAACTTTGGATTTAATTTTTGTGCCTTTTTCAAAAATAAACAAATAGATAAGTAAATATAAAATGGGTAGTGGAGGATCCAAACGAACACGGATTGATGATGCAGGTATAATAAATATTCGTAATAAAAGTTGCTAATCTTTATTAATATTCATGTTTGTTTATAAACATTTTTATTTATGTTTAATATTTGTTTTTAATACCTGAACATTTGATTTTTATGATAATTAATTTTTACGTTTTAAAGAAATGTAGATTGTGGTCAATAAAAATATTTACATAACAAATGATTATGCTGTTTGGCTGAATTTTAATTTTGAATCTATCGATTCGTTTTTCCGTTGTTTTTCCAATTAGAATGAAATTAAAAATATAGAGTAACAGTAATGTAAACGAATATTAAAAGGCTATCCATAATTTGTTTATATGCCAATTAGTACGTAGTACATCTGTTAATATATAAATAAAAATTATATATATATATAAATTATATATATATATATATATATATGTATATATTAATGTATATATATATACAAAAATACGAAATGTTTTTTGTGTAATCCCCTCACCAAGCAGATAAACCTATAGAGCACGATCCAAATTTCAACGGCCCCACGAAGAACAGGTCAGTCGTTCATTCCATTTCAATGCTTTACAATTTTACGCCTTCTAATACTGTTTGTTATTTTTTGCTCAAAAATCGTGGGCACTCAAGAGTTTAGTTCGTAACCAGTTGCATACGCATCATATCTGCGTCATTTTCTCGTAATTTGTACGTCATATGTAGGACCCACGTATGTCTTAAGTACGTGATATCACCAAAGATTTTAATGCATTTTCTTACAATAATTTCTTCTTCTTGTGTGTCCTCGTGACTAAAAAATTAGAAAGTTGGTTTTTATCGGTAAATTTGTATTTCCTGCGTGAGTTATTTACGTGCGCTGGCTGATAACCAATGATTCATTCAATAAAATTTTTAACTTATTCATTTCTCTTGTTTTGTTTATTGAAAGCAAGCTACAGTAGTAGTATTATTCAAAACGTTGTTATATCGTTTGATAGACTTAAGAAGGAAGAAATGTAAATGAAATGTGCGTTAGCTCTGTACCAACCGGTCTATCTAATGTTTTGTTTCAACTGGGTTCATTCATTCATTCATTAGAAAACAATCAGTCATTTTTAATCTTAATTCAGGCGCAAACCATAAACAATAAAATATTAATATATTGCGTTAAAATTTCATTGTTTAACAAATGATCATCATTTCGTTTGCTATCCACACGCAGCA